TATACACATGTATCATAATAGTCCTATACACATGTATCATACTTCTGTTATCTAATAGTCCTATACACATGTATCATACTTCTGTTATCTAATAGTCCTATACACATGTATCATACTTCTGTTATCTAATAGTCATATACACATGCATCATACTTCTGTGATCCCCAATATATCAGCCAGCCATAAAGCCTGTCTGATCTTCATCTATAAGATTAGGGTGAAGTTCTTTTAGACTGTCAGCAATAACTGATGATAATAACTTATATGATTTCAAAAGTGAAATTGGGCGACAATTTTTCAAAAGAATTCTTGGCTTTTCTCCCTTTGGAATACAAGTTATTTTGTGTCAGAGATAATTCACCAATATATTAGCTGTAATTTAGGGATCTTAACAGGAAATCTCCCAACTCAAGCCAAAACATCTAAAAAAATTCATTCGAAAAGCCATCAGAAAATGGACTTTTGTTAAAAAAATGTATTGTTAAAGATCTGTAATGGGTTTGTGTTTAGTTATTGGACCTTCTGTCTGATCTGATCCAGCCTTAATCTTCCTTACACTTTGTTCAGATAGGAGCGATTCGAGTTCAATATCTGTAACTAAATGTTCTTGGGATGTAAGGAGTTCGTGTTTAGTTATTGGACCTTCAGTCTGATCTGATCCAGCCTTAACAATCTTCCTTACATCTTGTTCAGATAGGAGCGATTCGAGTCCAATATCTGTAACTAAATGTTCTTGAGATGCGTAGAGGTTTTGGTAATAACTTGGTGCTTCTTCTATGTTATCATCCGTATTGACTAAAGTTTCCTTTCTATTTCTTTTATATAATTACTTATATAGTGTTTATTCTCCAGATTACAGAAGTATTTACTTATAATTTCACCTTCATCAGTCCATTTATACTTGGATATAATCAAAACCACATCAAGCTTTTGTTCACGTAATTGCTGTAAATCCTGTTTTTCAGTCTCCAATTCTTCATTTATTGATTCATCGAAATTGTTTTCCAATATTTCTTTCTCTGAAAACAACTGATATTTTTTTATCTCTTTCTTTTTTCTTGAAAGAAGCACACGATATTGTTTTGCCTCTTATTTTCATAAACAGTTGCCAGGACCAGATGATCATCAATTTGAAATTGTACATCAGAGTTTGAAACATCACTAATTTGTGAAAATTATATATTGGTATAGCATATTCTTTACAAACTTGTGTTGTTTAAATGTAATGTTCAATTTCCACAATTCAAGAACCACTAAGCATATATTCGAAAAGATGGCTTTTCAAAACTATGTGGCACTAATTAAGTCTGTACTGTACTGGCACAGAATCAGAAACGTTTAAAACTTTCCCGTGTCTGCTGTAGTGGCAAGTGGATATCTGACAATTCAGATGAATTTAAGTACCGTTGGTAGTGTACTATACTAACGGAAAGAAGTAACTGTGCAGAACATGAAATGGCATAAAATAAAAGCTATTTGAAAAGTTATTCATAAAAATAACCCTTAATAAACATGTAGCAAAGCACTTTGCATGAAATCTGGTGTCACGTATCTCCTGTGGCACGTGCACTTTGTGCAGAATGAACTTACTTTTTGCATGCTTTTTTACTTTTGACACCTGAAGTTCAAATACCTGATATAGAAAATAGAAGAACGGTTGATTATTCTACAGCCTATGTATGTTGTGGAAAACACGTTAATTTTAATGTCAACCTCAACTGCGCGTACGCTATGCCACGACTTACAGCAAAGCAGCGTCTCCTCGACGACGGTATGCTGGAGACTAGAATGGCCCTAAATGAAGTGGCGAGACTTTTTGGTGTACATCGAAACACGGTCTCATTTCTATGGAGACGTTTTCAACATAATGGGTACACGGGAGATTTGCCTTGGACCGGTCGTTCACGCGTGACGTCACGTCAACAAGACAACAACACTCCGCTGACTTATCTAAGGAATCGATTCCAGACTGCCAGTTTGACAGCTCGGACCATTCCTGGCTTGGGTCCAATCAGTTCCCGGACTGTACGGAACTGACTGAGGGAGCACAACATCCAACAGACGGCGAAGTGAACGGTAAGCTGACGCGTGCGTTGTTCAACGTCGACAGTTTGGTGGCGGCAGTGATATGGGGAGGTGTCATATATCATGGTATGACACAATTATTGTCAAAGGCAATCTGACAGGTCTGCGATACAGGTAAGAGATCATGGGACCTCATGACAGTCATGTGCAGCCGTTCATTCAAGAACAGAGGCTTAACTTCACGCTTCAGCAAGATAATGCTAGTCCACGTGTCTGTCGTGTTTGTGATAGATTTCCTCAGACAGCAGAATATTCCAGCACTCCCCTGGCGAGCTGTGTCTCCGGACCTGTCCCCTATCGGACATGCTTGGGATGAAATGGAGAGATGTTTACGTCAAGCCCAGAATTTGCCATTGACGTTAGCTAACTTGGGACAAGCGTAAGTTCAGACCTGGAACATTATTCCCCACGCTTTCTACGATCGCTTTGTGTCGCCTATGCGTCATCGTTGTCAAGCCTGCATCAACGTCTATGGTGGACACACACGATACTGAATTTGTGAACTGTATTTTGACACATCTCTTCAAGGACGTGTCACGATGCCTAGTGTCAAATCATACAGATTTCGATATTATCCTGTCAACATCTAAATAATGATTAAGGAAAACACCACAAATTATGTTATTACCTGTTTGCATTAAAATATGGCATAACATCAAATAATGCACAGTTACCTTATTCCAGTGGTGTAAATAGTTCGATGTTCAGCAGCTCGACTCCAGAGTTTTGACCGACTCCACACAAAAGCACATTTTGTTTGCTGTTGAAAGGCAATACACTTCTCTAAAAACAACTAATGCATTTCTCTCAATAATACTAACGATCATCCATCAGGGAAGCTACCATATAATTCATTTGAAAGAATTACGTACTTGAGTACAATATTGAGTTAAAAAGTTCGAATGAATTAAAGCAACGTTGTATTAAATCAACTCTCGCGCCCTCTACCGGCCGAACTATATTTCAAGCTAACCTCATACAGTTATATCCCTCGGAGCGCTCTTTACGAACATCATAACGCAGCTTGTCATTGAAAGCAGTTCGGCCAACACCGACGGCACCGTCTGCGACAGTTTTTGATGTACAGAACAATTGTTTACATTCCATAAATGGAATACTACAGATCAAAGAAGTTAGAAAGTCGTGGTCCATGCTGTCCCAATATCGGACCACCTCTTCTTTCATTTCAGCAATATTTGTCAGATTTTTCTTATTGACACTTTCCTTCATAAGTCCCCAAATATTTTCTATTGGATTTAGGTCAGGGCTATAGCTTGGCCAATCTAATAATGTTATATTTTGGATCGGAAACCAGGCCTGTGAATGCTTTGAACGATGTTTTGGGTCGTTGTCCTGCTGGAAAATCCAAACATTTCCATAGAACACGTGAGCAGATGGAAGTAAATGTCCCTCGAGAATATCTGTGTACCGCTCACTGTTCATATTCCCTTCAAATACACAGAGGGGCAGTGCCCCTAACATAGATATACCACCCCACACGTTAACTTTCGGACTGTACTTTGGGCGCTGATACAAAGGTTTTTCAGTTTGTTTGGTCCAGAATTTCAGTGTATTAGGAAACAGCCACAAAGAACTTTCATCTGAGAAAATCACATCGTCCCAGTTAAAATTTCTATGCTGTAAGCACCAGTTCAACCGTCGCTCCTTTTGTTCAGGTTTCATGATGGGTGATGGAATTCCTCGACTTCTCTGCCAACCCATTGCATGCAACTCAGTTCTAATTGTCTCCTTACAGACAGCCACAGTTCCTCTATCAATCATATCCGGCCTTAAGTTTTCTAAACTCCTTCGTTTGTTCTTAGAAACAAGAATACCAAGCCGCCTCCTGTCACCGAAGGCCAATTTTCTGAGCCTACCTACGCCTCCCTGGTGCTCAATGTACCATATCCATTTGCAATATTTGTCAAAACACGATAAACAGTGGACAAAGGGATGCCTGTTCTACTTGAAATCACTTCAGCTGATCTGATGTCCTTGTTAAAATACTCTAAAATCAACTTCCTCTTCTCTAAGTCATCCATACTGAGGATCACTGAAAATGTCATCTGCTAGCAAGTAAACAAAGGGGGATAACTCTTCACAAACTAATGAAAAAGGATTAACGGAGTTGTCTCTCTTGAATGAAACCAATCACTTGATAGCTGGTCAAGGTTGTTTATACTAGAAATCCAATTAAACATATTCCTAAAATTCTCAATAATTTCTGGTCATACTATACTCGTGATAGGCAGTCAATGTGTTAAACACCTCGAATACCATAGGGATATTCCACCATTTGAAAACTGTTTGTCCTTCAACTCTGCATACATTTCTGCTTACATTAATAGTCGGAGGTAGATCCACTCTGGGTGCAATTATCAAACATTCATTTTTCTGATCATATGAACATGGGCCTCTTAAAATACATCAGCAGACAGCAGGTAAATGTTTGATGTGGTTTTGGGGCAGCCATATTGGATTACTGAGTATGTAATTTAAATTTATGTTGTCTTTGGTAGGTCTTCAAAAACCTACTTCCTTGTATCTACTGAAGGGAATGTCTACCAACCTTTGGGAAATTGTCTCCTTACAAAACATATGAAACTAAGGTCTGTTCATGATGGCTGCCGTGGTTCAGATGTATTATCTCATATGGCTTATCCTGGTTTAGTTCATCTGAAGTAATTACCAACACTTTTCACATAACTATGAAAGAGGTGAAGGCAATATGCAGTACTCAGCAACTGTTCAACAACTGGGGAGCACCAGCAGACAATCTAACACTAACTAGACATGTGACACCCACCCATGACATGGCTGTCCTCCACCAAAACTGTGGCCTCTCAAATATACACTGGTTCGAGAGCACATAAAATCATCTCTAGTTACCATGGAACAAACTATCAAAACCAGTATTTTTCCCCAACCATTTATTTCTGTGCATACATGGAAGGGTCACCCAAATTGGCAGAGTCTCTTTTCCATTTATGTGATCACTAGAAGAAGAAGCCCAGTATCTTCCCTCCCAAGTGTTTCCTCCTGGCCTCTTCATGGTCCATGATTCCCCCGGACGTGGTCAGGATAAGAAAACTGGAACAACATAATCAGCAAGATCATAACACAGTCAAAAATAAACACTTGATAAATCACATGCCTTAACTACAAACTGTCAACTGATCTAAGGCCAATATAACCACAAGTTACTGTTTGACCCCATTGAAACAAGTCTTCAGGCCAGACCAATTATATTTCTTGTTTTACCGATCCGCTGGTCATATTTTTCAACAATAAGAAAAAAAAATTAAAATGTATTTTCCCCGCTCAAAAAATAAAGTCCTAATGTTTGTAGTGGCCAAAACTGTAAACTTACAAGAAACATTTTTTTAAATTGTATTTTGCCTCATATACACTTCATAAATTGCCAAAAGTAAAATAGTTTTAGTATTTAGAAGGAATATTACTTTGATGGGGGAATTTCTTTTTTTTTTCCCTCCTGCCTTTAGGTTTTCTGAGGACAGAAATCCGTAAAACAAGAAATATAATTGGTCTGGCCTCAGTTAGGATTTTTTGTATTTCCTTTCCTTTGGAAAAACAGTTATTCAGTATGTCACTGACATGTGCTTTTTCTACAGGTTCTGATTTGCACTTGTGGCATAAAATATGGACAACACCAGGATGGTACTTGTCACTGCAAATAACTGGTCCAGACCAGACAATCCAGTGATTCATATGAGAAATAACTCACATAGATGGGCTATCAAGTAAGTTACAGAGTGAACAAGTCACATCCAATATCAAGCATTGGTTCAAGCCCTTAACTGCCATGGGAGAAGGATCACCATGGTGAAAATTAGCTATGGTGCAACTCATTGTCAAGAAAAACACGGTGGGTAGGGGAGGAGGTGGGTAGGTGAGGTGAGGGGGGAGGGGGGGAAAAGGAGTCATCAGGAGATGACACACCCACTTTCTTGTGCAATGTGGAAATAGTTAAGCTACTTATACACAACATCTGGCAGTCTGGCCATTGACTTCAAAGAAGAAGAAAAATGTGTCAATATGAGGTTTCTTTAGCTTGTTATGCTGTTCGTAAATCTGGTCACTATCAAAGTGAAATTTGCAATAAAACTTCAGTAGACAAGGCTCAGAAATTCAATCATAATTGTGTACTGGATGCAAGATAGCGTTTCTTATACAGAGAATAAGATTACATTACAAAATATGCCATTGCAATGAACACTTTGTTAAATGACAGAACTAATGTTCATACTCCAGTATGTATTTGTCAATGTGCTGGTTCAGGTTTTTTGTGCTATGATAATATCTGTGTTGAGAAGAAAAGCAAAGAGTGTCATAAACGTGTGTTATGCACACACTGTAGTCAAAAACTGTATTTGAGAATACTGTTTAATATTTCAAGTAATATATGTATTTTGTGGTATTTTTATGATCATAATTTACCTAATCATTGTTTCATATCACGCAAGAGTAGTAAACATAGTGGGTAGTGAAAACACACCTGCATCTATAATTTAATCAGACAGTTACCTGGTTGCTGGCAGGAATACAGGATAACATGAAGTTCGACTTTGTGATTTACTACTGTATGAAAGCTTGGTTGTCCTGCCTGAAGAGTTACCATGGTGACCATCACAAGTTGCTTCCAATTGGATGATGGGACAAGGTTATCAGTATTGTACATAGCAGGGAATAAGTCATGTGAAAAAAGGAAAAACAAAACAGAAAGGGCAAAAAGTCTGTGTGCCTGTCGTAAGTGCTTCATAGAAGTTGATCATGTAACACAAATGATGCAACCACACAGCGTTCTTATTTTTTAAAAACATTTTGTTCATTAAGACTTGCTCTCCAGTGGAATTGGGCAACAAGCACCTACCCAAACTGTCTTGATGGCAGTAGATTTGTTGTCCACTTCTCCATATCACGAAGGGCAATGTCAAATCGTGGACTGATCACACCACACTGAATAACAAAAATATCACTGATATAAGAGACCTCACTGAACAGAACCTTACCCAGCACTGAGCCGTTTGTCCACACAAATCTATATCTTAAACAAATCAATGATATGTCACAAATTTAATTTGCACAATTTAATGACAATTCATCCTTAATATGCAAGATTGTGTGTAAGTTGTGTTCCTCTTCACTCACAACTGCTGGAGGTGAGGTGAAATGGGGTTTAACGTCGTACTATAGAATATTTCACTCATATGACGACGTGCATGCGTGTATGTGTGGCTGCTTGCACTAGCCCAGACTTAACTCTTTCAACACCAGTCAACCAGAGGTATTTACTGCCATGACACCGAGTTCCCAGAGACTCTAAGGTCACAGATGAAGCCTATGTTTATGAAGGAAATTATAAGCTTGTAAAACGTTATTGCTACTACATCTCATACACCATTTAAAAGATCTAATCCCACTGTTGATAAATATGAAGTTTATTTTTATAATGTTATTCAAATAATACAACTACAACTTAAATAGATATATTTTTGTAATGAAAATGCAAGCTTACATTTATAATGTCCAGATAAACCATGAAAGAAGCAAAAACTATCGCATCTTTTTCGATTTGTAACATGCCATAACATGGCAGTGCCTTTTTCTTTTATATTTTCATTTTTACGTAATCAGAAAATTATTATAAAAAGATTTCTTAAATAATATGTATGGTCTCCTATTTCCCGATATCAGTGGCTTTCCGCTCAGTAACATGACACAACAGCGGAAAATATCTCCGTTTTCGAAGCTTCGTATGAATAACATGGGAGGCGAATCGATTGATGTTGGGTATCGTTCCAAAGCTCTGAACATCATCACTGTACCCTTGCCGAGAGTATTTTCACAGTTGTAAGAAGCGATTTTAATGGATAAAGATTGGTTTCTAACAGCAGAGGCGGGACACAACTGCTGGACATCAAGGCAATGTGTACAGCAGAGGCAGGACACAACTGCTGGACATCAAGGCAATGTGTACAGCAGAGGCAGGACACAACTGCTGGACATCAAGGCAATGTGTACAGCAGAGGCAGGACACAACTGCTGGACATCAAGGCAATGTGTACAGCAGAGGCAGGACACAACTGCTGGACATCAAGGCAATGTGTACAGCAGAGGCAGGACACAACTGCTGGACATCAAGGCAATGTGTACAGCAGAGGCAGGACACAACTGCTGGACATCAAGGCAATGTGTACAGCAGAGGCAGGACACAACTGCTGGACATCAAGGCAATGTGTACAGCAGAGGCAGGACACAACAACTGCTGGACATCAAGGCAATGTGTACAGCAGAGGCAGGCACACAACTGCTGGACATCAAGGCAATGTGGACAGCAGAGGGCACAACTGCTGGACACAACTGCTGGACATCAAGGCAATGTGTACAGCAGAGGCAGGACACAACTGCTGGACATCAAGGCAATGTGTACAGCAGAGGCAGACACAACTGCTGGACATCAAGGCAATGTGTACAGCAGAGGCAGGACACAACTGCTGGACATCAAGGCAATGTGGACAGCAGAGGCAGGACACAACTGCTGGACATCAAGGCAATGTGGACAGCAGAGGCAGCAGACACAACTGCTGGACATCAAGGCAATGTGTACAGCAGAGGCAGGACACAACTGCTGGACATCAAGGCAATGTGTACAGCAGAGGCAGGACACAACTGCTGGACATCAAGGCAATGTGGACAGCAGAGGCAGCACACAACTGCTGGACATCAAGGCAATGTGTACAGCAGAGGCAGGAACAACTGCTGGACATCAAGGCAATGTGGACAGCAGAGGCAGCACACAACTGCTGGACATCAAGGCAATGTGTACAGCAGAGGCAGCACACAACTGCTGGACATCAAGGCAATGTGGACAGCAGAGGCAGCACACAACTGCTGGACTGACTGACTGACTGAGTTTTGGTTTTTACACCGCTTTTAGCAATATTCCAGCAACATCACGGCGGGCACAACTGCTGGACATCAAGGCAATGTGTACAGCAGAGGCAGCGCACAACTGCTGGACATCAAGGCAATGTGTACAGCAGAGGCAGCACACAACTGCTGGACATCAAGGCAATGTGGACAGCAGAGGCAGCACACAACTGCTGGACATCAAGGCAATGTGGACAGCAGAGGCAGCACACAACTGCTGGACATCAAGGCAATGTGGACAGCAACAAGACATCAAGGCAATGTGGACAGCAGCAACACAACTGCTGGACATCAAGGCAATGTGGACAGCAGAGGCAGCACACAACTGCTGGACATCAAGGCACTGCACACAACTGACTGAGTTTTGGTTTTAGCAAGAGGCAGCACACAAACTGCTTCAAGGCAATATTCCAGCAACATCACGGCGGGCACAACTGCTGGACATCAAGGCAATGTGTACAGCAGAGGCAGCGCACAACTGCTGGACATCAAGGCAATGTGTACAGCACAGGCAGCTATATGGAAAGGCCATAAATTGACAATGGAAAGAATCACCAAGGAAATTTTAACATTTCCGCTACTAAAATATGAGAGCTCATTCCCTTAGTACACATTGCTTTCCCTCTCACTTGAACAAGAACTTCTTTCACAGGCTAGAGTGAGCGAGTGAGGGGAGTGATTATTGCTTAATGCTACATGAACAATTTTGTAGCTATTCTTGGCGAAAGAAACAGTGACTTCCACATATTGATGATACAAAAGGACACTCCAACTTACTTTGTTTAATCTTCCTGTGAGGTTCACTACAATTTTTCCGCCTCGATGATCATCAACGATCTCAAATTCACCAATGTACCCTGCAAAATAAAAATACGGACCTTGTAGCATGTTACTGAACAAACAGCAGTGTATTTACAGCAACAATGTCTTTGTCACTGATTCTTGCCACTTATGTTCTCAGCTGGCATACTTTAACTTCCTATTATATACTTTCACTGGAATCAGTCACTGAAATAGTAAGGAATAAACTTTCCCAGCACTGATTACCTCCCATCTTGGGCAGTCATCGAAGTTCAAACTACCCACTGCCATGACAAGCTGATGAAGTATGAACTACCACACTTCATGGCAAGTAGACAGTACCAACTACTTCATGTCATGGCAAGTAGACAGTACCAACTACTTCATGTCATGACAAGTAGACAATACCAACTACTTCACATCATGGCAAGTAGACAGTACCAACTACTTCACGTCATGACAAGTAGACAATACCAACTACTTCACATCATGGCAAGTAGACAGTACCAACTACTTCATGGCAAGTAGACAGCACCAACTACTTCACGTCATGACAAGTAGACAGTACCAACTACTTCACGTCATGGCAAGTAGACAGTACCAACTACTTCATGTCATGACAAGTAGACAATACCAACTACTTCACATCATGGCAAGTAGACAGTACCAACTACTTCACGTCATGACAAGTAGACAATACCAACTACTTCACATCATGGCAAGTAGACAGTACCAACTACTTCATGGCAAGTAGACAGCACCAACTACTTCACGCCATGACAAGTAGACAGTACCAACTACTTCACGTCATGACAAGTAGACAGTACCAACTACTTCACGTCATGGCAAGTAGACAGTACCAACTACTTCACGTCATGACAAGTAGACAGTACCAACTACTTCACGTCATGACAAGTAGACCGTACCAACTACTTCACGTCATGACAAGTAGACAGCACCAACTACTTCACGTCATGACAAGTAGACAGTACCAACTACTTCACGTCATGACAAGTAGACAGCACCAACTACTTCACGTCATGGCAAGTAGACAGTACCAACTACTTCACGTCATGACAAGTAGACAGCACCAACTACTTCACGTCATGACAAGTAGACAGCACCAACTACTTCATGGCAAGTAGACAGTACCAACTACTTCACGCCATGGCAAGTAGACAGTACCAACTACTTCACGTCATGGAGAGTAGACAGCACCAACTACTTCATGGCAAGTAGACAGTACCAACTACTTCATGCCAAGTAGACAGTACCAACTACTTCATGGCAAGTAGACAGTACCAACTACTTCACGCCATGGCAAGTAGACAGTACCAACTACTTCACGTCATGGCAAGTAGACAGTACCAACTACTTCATGGCAAGTAGACAGTACCAACTACTTCATGGCAAGTAGACAGTACCAACTACTTCACGTCATGACAAGTAGACAGTACCAACTACTTCACGCCATGGCAAGTAGACAGTACCAACTACTTCATGGCAAGTAGACAGTACCAACTACTTCATGGCAAGTAGACAGTACCAACTACTTCACGTCATGACAAGTAGACAATACCAACTACTTCACGCCATGGCAAGTAGACAGTACCAACTACTTCACGTCATGACAAGTAGACAGTACCAACTACTTCACGTCATGGCAAGTAGACAGTACCAACTACTTCATGGCAAGTAGACAGTACCAACTACTTCATGGCAAGTAGACAGTACCAACTACTTCACGCCATGGCAAGTAGACAGTACCAACTACTTCATGGCAAGTAGACAGCACCAACTACTTCATGGCAAGTAGACAGTACCAACTACTTCATGGCAAGTAGACAGTACCAACTACTTCACGTCATGACAAGTAGACAGTACCAACTACTTCACGTCATGGCAAGTAGACAGTACCAACAACTTCATGGCAAGTAGACAGTACCAACTACTTCACGTCATGACAAGTAGACAGTACCAACTACTTCACGTCATGACAAGTAGACAGTACCAACTACTTCACGTCATGGCAAGTAGACAGTACCAACTACTTCATGGCAAGTAGACAGTACCAACTACTTCACGCCATGGCAAGTAGACAGTACCAACTACTTCATGGCAAGTAGACAGTACCAACTACTTCATGGCAAGTAGACAGTACCAACTACTTCACGCCATGGCAAGTAGACAGTACCAACTACTTCATGGCAAGTAGACAGCACCAACTACTTCACGTCATGGCAAGTAGACAGCACCAACTACTTCACGTCATGGCAAGTAGACAGTACCAACTACTTCACGTCATGGCAAGTAGACAGTACCAACTACTTCATGGCAAGTAGACAGCACCAACTACTTCATGGCAAGTAGACAGTACCAACTACTTCACGCCATGGCAAGTAGACAGTACCAACTACTTCACGCCATGGCAAGTAGACAGTACCAACTACTTCACGTCATGACAAGTAGACAGTACCAACTACTTCACGTCATGACAAGTAGACAGTACCAACTACTTCACGTCATGACAAGTAGACAGCACCAACTACTTCACGTCATGACAGGTAGACAGTACCAACTACTTCACGTCATGACAAGTAGACAGCACCAACTACTTCACGTCATGGCAAGTAGACAGTACCAACTACTTCATGGCAAGTAGACAGTACCAACTACTTCACGCCATGGCAAGTAGACAGTACCAACTACTTCACGTCATGGCAAGTAGACAGCACCAACTACTTCATGGCAAGTAGACAGCACCAACTACTTCACGTCATGGCAAGTAGACAGCACCAACTACTTCACGTCATGGCAAGTAGACAGTACCAACTACTTCACGTCATGGCAAGTAGACAGTACCAACTACTTCATGGCAAGTAGACAGCACCAACTACTTCACACCATGGCAAGTAGACAGTACCAACTACTTCATGGCAAGTAGACAGCACCAACTACTTCACGCCATGGCAAGTAGACAGTACCAACTACTTCATGGCAAGTAGACAGCACCAACTACTTCACGTCATGACAGGTAGACAGTACCAACTACTTCACGTCATGGCAAGTAGACAGTACCAACTACTTCACGCCATGGCAAGTAGACAGTACCAACTACTTCAAGTCATGGCAAGTAGACAGTACCAACTACTTCACGTCATGGCAAGTAGACAGTACCAACTACTTCACGTCATGACAAGTAGACAGTACCAACTACTTCACATCATGACAAGTAGACAGTACCAACTACTTCACGTCATGGCAAGTAGACAGCACCAACTACTTCATGGCAAGTAGACAGTACCAACTACTTCATGGCAAGTAGACAGTACCAACTACTTCACGTCATGACAAGTAGACAGTACCAACTACTTCACATCATGACAAGTAGACAGTACCAACTACTTCACGTCATGGCAAGTAGACAGCACCAACTACTTCATGGCAAGTAGACAGTACCAACTACTTCATGGCAAGTAGACAGTACCAACTACTTCACGCCATGGCAAGTAGACAGTACCAACTACTTCATGGCAAGTAGACAGCACCAACTACTTCATGGCAAGTAGACAGTACCAACTACTTCATGGCAAGTAGACAGCACCAACTACTTCATGGCAAGTAGACAGTACCAACTACTTCACGTCATGGCAAGTAGACAGTACCAACTACTTCATGGCAAGTAGACAGTACCAACTACTTCATGGCAAGTAGACAGAACCAACTACTTCACGCAACTTCTTCATGGCAAGTAGACAGTACCAACTACTTCACGCCATGGCAAGTAGACAGTACCAACTACTTCATGGCAAGTAGACAGTACCAACTACTTCATGGCAAGTAGACAGTACCAACTACTTCATGGCAAGTAGACAGTACCAACTACTTCACGTCATGGCAAGTAGACAGTACCAACTACTTCACGCCATGACAAGTAGACAGTACCAACTACTTCACGTCATGGCAAGTAGACAGTACCAACTACTTCACGCCATGGCAAGTAGACCGTACCAACTACTTCACATCATGGCAAGTAGACAGTACAATACAAACTACCACACTTCATGGCAAGTAGACAGTACCAACTACTTTCATGGCAAGTAGACAGTACCAAACTTCTTCACGTCATGGCAAGTAGACAGCACCAACTACTTCATGGCAAGTAGACAGTACCAACTACTTCATGGCAAGTAGACAGTACCAACTACTTCACGCCATGGCAAGTAGACAGTACCAACTACTTCATGGCAAGTAGACAGCACCAACTACTTCATGGCAAGTAGACAGTACCAACTACTTCATGGCAAGTAGACAGCACCAACTACTTCATGGCAAGTAGACAGTACCAACTACTTCACGTCATGGCAAGTAGACAGTACCAACTACTTCATGGCAAGTAGACAGTACCAACTACTTCATGGCAAGTAGACAGAACCAACTACTTCACGCTATGGCAAGTAGACAGTACCAACTACTTCACGTCATGGCAAGTAGACAGTACCAACTACTTCATGGCAAGTAGACAGTACCAACTACTTCATGGCAAGTAGACAGTACCAACTACTTGATGGCAAGTAGACAGTACCAACTACTTCACGTCATGGCAGTAGACAGTACCAACTACTTCACGTCATGACAAGTAGACAGTACCAACTACTTCACGTCATGGCAAGTAGACAGTACCAACTACTTCACGCCATGGCAAGTAGACCGTACCAACTACTTCACGTCATGGCAAGTAGACAATACCAACTACCACACTTCATGGCAAGTAGACAGTACCAACTACTTCACGCCATGGCAAGTAAACAGTACCAACTACTTCACGTCATGGCAAGTAGACAGTACCAACTACTTCATGGCAAGTAGACAGTACCAACTACTTCATGGCAAGTAGACAGCACCAACTACTTCATGGCAAGTAGACAGCACCAACTACTTCATGGCAAGTAGACAGTACCAACTACTTCATGGCAAGTAGACAGTACCAACTACTTCACGCCATGGCAAGTAGACAGTACCAACTACTTCACGTCATGGCAAGTAGACAGTACCAACTACATCATGGCAAGTAGACAGTACCAACTACTTCATGGCAAGTAGACAGTACCAACTACTTCACGCCATGGCAAGTAGACAGTACCAACTACTTCACGCCATGGCAAGTAGACAGTACCAACTACGTCATGGCAAGTAGACAGTACCAACTACTTCACGCCATGGCAAGTAGACAGTACCAACTACTTCACGTCATGGCAAGTAGACAGTACCAACTACTTCACGCCATGGCAAGTAGACAGTACCAACTACTTCACGCCATGGCAAGTAGACAGTAGACCAACTACCAACTACATCATGGCAAGTAGACAGTACCAACTACTTCATGGCAAGTAGACAGTACCAACTACTTCACGCCATGGCAAGTAGACAGTACCAACTACTTCACGTCATGGCAAGTAGACAGTACCAACTACTTCACGCCATGGCAAGTAGACAGTACCAACTACTTCACGTCATGGCAAGTAGACAGTAGAAGTAGACAGTACCAACTACTTCACGCCATGGCAAGTAGACAGTACCAACTACTTCACATAATGGCAAGTAGACAGTACCAACTACTTGTGCTTCATGGCATGGCAAGTAGACAGTACCAACTACTTCACGCCATGGCAAGTAGACAGTACCAACTACTTCATGGCAAGTAGACAGTACCAACTACTTCATGGCAAGTAGACAGTACCAACTACTTCACGCCATGGCAAGTAGACAGTACCAACTACTTCATGGCAAGTAGACAGTACCAACTACTTCATGGCAAGTAGACAGTACCAACTACTTCACGCCATGGCAAGTAGACAGTACCAACTACTTCATGGCAAGTAGACAGTACCAACTACTTCACTTCATGGCAAGTAGACAGTACCAACTACTTCATGGCGAGTCATGGCAAGTAGACGAGTACCAACTACTTCATGGCAAGTAGACAGTACCAACTACTTCATGGCAAGTAGACAGTACCACTACTTCACGCCATGGCAAGTAGACAGTACCAACTACTTCACGCCATGGCAAGTAGACAGTACCAACTACTTCATGGCAAGTAGACAGTACCAACTACTTCACGTCATGGCAAGTAGACAGTACCAACTACTTCACGCCATGGCAAGTAGACAGTACCAACTACTTCACGTCATGGCAAGTAGACAGTACCAACTACTTCATGGCAAGTAGACAGTACCAACTACTTCACGTCATGGCAAGTAGACAGTACCAACTACTTCATGCCAAGTAGACAGTACCAACTACTTCACGTCATGGCAAGTAGACAGTACCAACTACTTCACGTCATGGCAAGTAGACAGTACCAACTACTTCATGGCAAGTAGACAGTACCAACTACTTCACGTCATGGCAAGTAGACAGTACCAACTACTTCACGTCATGGCAAGTAGACAGTACCAACTACTTCACGTCATGGCAAGTAGACAGCACCAACTACTTCATGGCAAGTAGACAGTACCAACTACTTCATGGCAAGTAGACAGCACCAACTACTTCATGGCAAGTAGACAGTACCAACTACTTCACGTCATGGCAAGTTGACAGTACCAACTAAGCATTGTCATTGGCAAGTAGACAGCAGGGCTCCAGATAATTATTTTGACCCGGAGTATTTCACTCCTAAAATTAAAATCGAGGGGTAAAATAGGGAATGGAAATAAATGGAGGAGTATTTCACAGGTTGCATGGTTATATTACTTTTCCTTGCTAATTGAAACAGTTTTCCTTTAAAAAAACAACTAGACGAGTTTCTTCGTTCAGGGCTCCAGATAACTTTTGGGGGTGTGAGTGTACTTACACATCATATTGCAAGTGGAGGTGTACTGAGAATTTTGAAGGAGTACTGACATGTTTTTGTGTGAGCGAGTTGGTGATGTGATTTGTCAGGACGATTCATCGATCACTATTTCCAACCATGTATTTGTATTTGAAGACGCGTGAGAAATAACTGAGCGACCATGTAATGCGCGAAATGTCAGGTCCGACTGGATATAAATAGGAACAGTGAAGTTTTTAGCCAATCGAAAAATAGTGACGCATATCGTTGCATGGCAACGCAAGTGATTCCTACTGTCGGGGTTTCCTCATGTGTCAAATCGTGTTTCGCAAAAGAAACTTGACAAGTATTTATCCAAATAGATTTCCATTTGCACGATACGCACGGAAATTAAATGTTAGACGTACAGAGATATTTATGTGCGTACACGATACGCTTGAAATCTTATATTATGTCGTACTTAATTGATTTTGAGGAGTAAATTACGCCTGTACGCCCCTTATCTGTAGCCCTGTTCGTTAGTAATTCTTACTGAAGATGACAGGAAATATATGACAATGTGCGTAGAGCTATTGTGCATTAAATGTTTTCCTATGCTGGTTTAAGGCCATCACATAATGGAGATCAAACGGAAAAACTCGACAATCTTTGCATCAATACAGACAACCAACACTATTCAAGATCTTAAGATTGGATGTGTAGGACTGAAACAATATTTTGACAGGTTTGGTTCATGCATGTAAACAAAACCTGACTCCAATTCTGACAAAGTTATGTGTATCTTTCACTCACTGATTTGACTTTTCATGTGTATATCTGAATTATCCATGCGTAAATAACCTAGTGTCATGGCAAGTACACAGTACCATTTACCTAACCTACTGTCGTGGAGAGTAGACTGTACCATTTACCTAACCTACTGTCATGGAGAGTAGACTGTACCATTTACCTAACCTGTCGTGGAGAGTAGACTGTACCATCTACCTAACCTACTGTCATGGAGAGTAGACTGTACCATTTACCTAACCTACTGTCATGGAGAGTAGACAGTACCATCTACCTAACCTACTGTCGTGGAGAGTAGACTGTACCATTTACCTAACCTACTGTCGTGGAGAGTAGACTGTACCATTTACCTAACCTACTGTCATGGAGAGTAGACTGTACCATTTACCTAACCTGTCGTGGAGAGTAGACTGTACCATCTACCTAACCTACTGTCATGGAGAGTAGACTGTACCATTTACCTAACCTACTGTCATGGAGAGTAGACTGTACCATTTACCTAACCTGTCGTGGAGAGTAGACTGTACCATCTACCTAACCTACTGTCATGGAGAGTAGACTGTACCATTTACCTAACCTACTGTCGTGGAGAGTAGACTGTACCATTTACCTAACCTACTGTCATGGAGAGTAGACTGTACCATTTACCTAACCTGTCGTGGAGGGAGTAGACTGTACCATCTACCTAACCTACTGTCGTGGAGAGTAGACTGTACCATTTACCTAACCTACTGTCGTGGAGAGTAGACTGTACCATTTACCTAACCTACTGTCATGGAGAGTAGACTGTACCATCTACCTAACCTACTGTCATGGAGAGTAGACTGTACCATTTACCTAACCTACTGTCATGGAGAGTAGACTGTACCATTTACCTAACCTACTGTCATGGAGAGTAGACTGTACCATTTACCTAACCTGTCGTGGAGAGTAGACTGTACCATCTACCTAACCTACTGTCATGGAGAGTAGACTGTACCAATTACCTAACCTACTGTCATGGAGAGTAGACTGTACCATCTACCTAACCTACTGTCATGGAGAGTAGACTGTACCATTTACCTAACCTACTGTCATGGAGAGTAGACTGTACCATTTACCTAACCTACTGTCATGGAGAGTAGACTGTACCATTTACCTAACCTACTGTCATGGAGAGTAGACTGTACCATTTACCTAACCTACTGTCATGGAGAGTAGACTGTACCATTTACCTAACCTACTGTCATGGAGAGTAGACTGTACCATCTACCTAACCTACTGTCATGGAGAGTAGAAAGTACCATCCACTTAATCTACTGTCATGGCAAGTAGATGGTACCATCTATCTAATCTACTGTCATGGCAAGTTTGTGTTGTTTCATGCCATACTCAGTAATATGCCAGCTATAAGGCGGCGGTCTGAAAATAATGAAGTCTGGACAAAACATTCCAGTGATCAACATTATGAGCATCAATCTACGCAGTTGAGATCCATACAACACGTCAACCAGCCTGACCACCTCATCCCCTTAGATGCCTCTTACGACAAACATGGGTTGCTGAAGACCCATTTCGAAGCTGGGTCTTCATGTGTATCATGGCAAGTAGATTACCTTCTGTTATGAATGGCTCGAGTTACATACCATGTTTCATCATGACGGTGAGGAAACGGACAATCACTTTGGAGCAAGGCCTGATGAGCACTTGTCTCTTGCCACGCTTCTCAGCTTTAAAGATGGAATTTAGAGCATCCGCCAACACGTTCATGCGAACCATTTTGATGCCTGAAAGAAATGAAAATTCACATTCATTTTTATACATCTGAGAGTTGGTATTTCGATGGCAAGCTTGAAATTCCACTAAAATCAACTACTCCATTCCATCATGAATTCAAGCATGTGACCCACACATATGTTGAAGGTGACAAATTCTAACCAGGAAAACGAACAGGGACTGAGACCTTGAAAGATCATCACTTTCCTTTGTAAAACGTAAATATGCCAAACACAAAAACACCTTGTAGGTGTCACATGTTACAATGAAAAACACCCAGGAATTTCACTTAGCAGGGATAAAAATTCTAAGTGTGCCTTATGGCACTGGACAAATTGTTTAGATGTGCCTTTCAGAAATCAAGTGTGCCCACATGTTTTTACTATTTAGAATAACTGACTGGCAATGATGATCATTTGAAATTTATTGTTAGTAAACAACAAATGTAACCTGCTTTCTGTTATCACTGATATGTCTTCTGTATAAATTGGCTTCCTTAAGCTTCATTTGTTCTGCTTTCCCAACACCTCTAATAGCTAAGAATTTTGTGACACTCGGGTTCACTTGTTCAATTTATCTAACATACACAATTTCTTCTTCAATAACTGAACTGTTAGTACTGCAATCACTCTAAATGAAAAAAACAACCAGATTTCTTTACATCATCCATCATAATTCCAGTGATTTCCTGGGCGATAAAGTCGATAAATGGTTTTGCTTTTTGTCTCTTGTGTAAGTGTTTCGTTTTGGGGATTAAATGACTAAAGGTGAGTCACGACTCTAAAATATTAGACATGCCATAAGGGCACTGTGAACATTTTTTATCCGTGCCATTTCAATTATTGATGAAATTATGATGGCAATACCTTCAACAAACACATTCATAGTAATTGTTAGTAATTGAGTCTCTTCAGACAAAAGTAAGCATGGTTATGATTGACGTGGTGAGTTGGATCTGAAGACACGACTGCACCACGATACATCAATGCATCAATACTTTTTCTGATACAATTATTGATACATTCAAAACTGTATCGATATTTAGTTTTGAAAGTATCGGTTTAAATATGTTTATGTATCGTTTACATTTTGCAATTGTATCATGTATTGTTGATGTTATGATAAATGATTATTTTTCATGCACAAAGATGGGAAATTAGAACTTTTTAATCTCGGAGAATAAAAATTGTTGATCTTTCCATGGAAAATGCTAAAATATGAAATATTAATGTTCAAAATGTTACTAAATTCATGCAATAATACCACAAAAATTGATATCATGATGCGTATCGAATCGTAACATGGGTATCGTGATACGTATCGATTCATTTTACTTATGTGTTGTGACATCCCTACTGCAAAACCATGTTATCAATGTTCTCATGCTTAGCTCTGGTGTAGACTGTAGGTGCTCTGTCTGTATTTTGTCTTTGAGTGGCATTTAGAAGATGGTGTGATGAACTACGGGGGAAATAAGTTGTATATCAAAGAACTTCATATCTACAAAAACAAATGACAAGAAATACAAGGTTATTTTATGGGAGAATATATCCTTGTGTATTCGGTTTTCGGTCATGTAAGGATTGTCGACCAACGTAACATTAAGTGCATAAATAAATCGATAATAAACAATCCTACCTCGTTTGTTTGTTATTTATTTATGATATTCAAATATCTGACGGATTAACCTCGTGTTTCACCCGCATAGCAGGCCTCGTAGTTCGCTACGCAAAGATCCTGAATGCGGAAGTGACGTCATCTGTTTTCGTTCACTTCATTGGTTCTCCGTAAAACACAAATCTAATAGCAGTATTCGTGCTATGCTGATATTTTTATAATATAAAGTTAATAAACATCCAGTCCAAAAAGAATATTTGTAATAGTTCCAATAATAATTATTAGAAACTATGGTCGTAATAATTTCATGTCAAAGTTTATCATGATGAGACTTCGCTAGTTACATCACATGTCCAGGCAGTTTTCACTCCTCCGGTTCGCGCTGACAAGGGCACCAAAACTCATCAGAAGATCTCACTACACATGCGGAGGTGCACAGCTTGAGGTGGACCCAATGACAGCATGCAGGATGAGTACACTGGGCCCATGACACAGAAATATATTAATTGCAGTTTCGAAAATTAAATGAGTATTTTGAAAAATCGTAATAAGAGATGACCCTATCCAGTTTCCATATATTTTTTTTACGACGGCAACGCCACGTAATATGTCACGGGATAATAATACGTCATACTATAAACAAGCAGACGACGCTATACTGAAAAGGTGGAGCTGACGATCTTTTAGATATGGCATTTTGATTACATGAAAATTTATGCATTAGTAAACTCAGTTCTAAAACGTAACATTTACGTGTGTTTGCAATCATGTACCTTACTAAATTTCACACGAAGCATTTTGTTAGTCAGAGCTGAAGCAGTCGACATCCTGCTAAAAATAACCTGTCTGGTGACGTAAAATCTCGCTAATAACCGCGAGAAATGAACACGCAAACGGCCGACCGAAAACAGATGATGAACGAAAACAGATGACTCGAGGATACTCTGTAAATTTCATCAAATATTAAAAGCATAAATTTGAATGCGTAACGTTCCCACTTACGGTTTGAGGCGATTTTTGCGAGACCGTTCTGACAAAGTTTAGGTTGAACGTTTTCAATCGACCTAGCACCCCTAACCTTACACTGACAGAGTTTGGTTTTACGCCGCTTTTAACAATATTCCAGCAACATCAGGGCTGCCTAACCTTACACGATAATAGATCCTCTATAAATAAATACGGCTGCTACACATCTTTGAATTAACAGATCCCTGGTTCACTGGTATGGCGAAGTTTTAAACAAGTGTGCCATTAGAGCAAATTGATCAACTTAGACACTTAATAGGAAGCATACACAGTCGAGTGCGTTGATGTCAATAAACATGAGGACCGATCATGCTTCGAGAAAGAGGGTAACGGAAGAAACCAGACAAGACCTTTAACATAGCACAGATAATAACATAAATTCAGACACTTTTCAAAACCACTGATATTGGTTTACACATTTTTCGTCTGGCTATGAAAAATAGGTGGTCATTTATTTCAGATTTCTCCGATTATATTGACAAACTATCTAGTTTTCGTTCTACCTCTAGAAGATGGCGGCTTGAAAAGACCGATTCGAGGCTGCTTCCGGGTGAACAGGGGTCACTTCCGGAAATTCTTATTTTCAACAAGTTCCCTCACTGAGAAGTATTCATGAAAAACAACAACTCCCAAAATCATTTCAACGATCAGATGTTATGTTCACAAACAATTTAAATCAAAGCTAGTTTATTTTTCTTTGCCGTAACTGTATGAATTGGCCTTAGCAACCGGATGGTTGAGGTTTGTGTACGTCGCCATCTTAACATGGCCGACACAAGTACCTGCTGAAGCTGGTCCTGTAGACTGACACGAGCAGGTCAGAGTGCTGCCAATAACGAAACACCAAACCTCTTTTCGATGGCACACATTTACATACAAAGTAAGAAAAATGACACCAGATAACAGTTATCTATACTTGTATAGAATAATTTCGAGGGTATTGTTAGACCAAGTATCTCCTGTATCGATCTGTTGGTGTTGGTCCTTTAACTTGGAGATATCGGCCTAATTTTAGTTTTGCATTTGGATTGAACTTACTTGAGACAGTATATAGACACGCCTTTTCACTACAGATCTGATCGCAATCGTCACTCAGCACAACGGACTGAAATGGGTTGATCATGTTCCGTCTAATATTTGGCTTTTGTGATAGTTGGTAAATTGGATATCATTACGGCATGTCAATTTGCAAATTGTGTGCTTAAGCACTTCACAGAAAACGTCATATTGTGATGTTGCTAACAGCAATGGTAAAAGCATTGGTCAGTTATTTGTTGAAGACGAACGTCAATGACTATTTTCCAGGGGTTACCAACAGATGTGTACACTTGCATTCATTGCCTCTATTTGTTTTAGCAGTAGCCACCCAGTTATCTGTTCTAAAGTACCATAATGCTCTCTGCAGAGTTACTTTCCAATGGGTGCCAAAATCTAGTTATTATGAGTCATGTCCTGGATAACATCTGACTATGATTTTTGTTTTGGCCTGGTCTAAATTATTTACAGGTTGCCACGATGCATTTGGACTATTGCTGATTGTGGCTGAGACAACAACAAACATTAGCAAAGCAGGTCAAAGGTTTATTCATAGCCTTTATATCATATGAATAATTTGTTGCAGGTGTACAATAGTAAAGATGGCCTGGTTGGCGAAGCGTCCTGAGACACCCCAAAGTGGGGTGCTGCTACAGACGGAATATAACATTCAGCATCGGTCTGATCTCCTCCTAGAGGAACATGTACGGTAGTTTTCTACTCTACATAGCTCTACTCACATCTCTCTTTATCGTGACAGATGTGCTGGTTTGAAACCGTCCTCGATAATCTCCAGGGTATACGTTACGATCACTCTCCACTAAACCCAGGATGCATCCACGGCTTGGCCCCATAATTATATTACCTCCCTTGGCCGGCTTTTTATTCAATCAGGTGTCTACTGCTGGGAAGTTGAGCGAACCAATCACAACTCACTTTCGCTTCTTAAATTATCTAACCATTTAAACTTGGCAACACAATTGTTGCAGAGGTACTCTGAAAGAGGTAGAAGGAGTTCTTTTTTAAAGTTTCAGATCTGTCAATTTGTCTGTATTGTTTCCCCAAAAATCTGAGTGGCTCTGCGAACAAACCTTCATACCTGTGACAGCTATCTTTGTTGACATTTGCAAGCTCGGATGTAACAGCGGCTTAGCTGATTGGCTACTGTGAGAATGCGGAGTCAGCAAAGGGATGTAATATAATTATGAGGCCAAGCCTTGGATGCATCCAGGGTATAGCGGAGAGTGATCGTACATATATCCTGGAGATTATCGAGGATAGTTTGAAACAAGATGAGAGAATCTATCCTATAGCAGATCTGTCTGAATATGAGTCAATAAGCTTTTCACTTTTGAATGAAGTGCAGATTAGAATTTCATCGAATGTTGCAAAAGTAAAATGAAAAAGCAGATGAATATTTGATTAATTCCCTACTACAATTAAAAAGGAGATGGTTGTGCAAATGTTTCTGATTCGTTTTTTCGAAACATAATGAATAAATAATCTTCATACAAATTTATCTTCAATTGCCAAAAAAATCTACCATTTTCACTTCCAAATGATATTGATGATGAAGTGATTCTTGTGCTCCAGGTTGTCATCAGATTGATAAAACTTGTGTTGGTTAAAAATGAATTGATCATTCTATGTATTGTCAGATCTTCAATGTGAGGGCCACACAGGAGGATCTGAGGAGAGCTCTTGTGGATCTGGAAAATGCCAAGTCCTCAGATGATCTTGAGGTGCAAAGAAAAGTTGTCCTTGAGCTTCGTGAGAAGTCGGAACAGCTTATTGTGGTATTACAGGTCGGCATGTGCTTATTTCCATTTCTTAGGCCGAGGCACTGTGAACTGTAGCTTGACAAAGTTGCATTTTCATCTGTCTGAGGTGAAGTGAGCCAATTTCAGAGAAGTAGAACAGTTGTGTAGTTTGATTGACAAAAGTCAGTGATGCACAACTCAATGTTAGTTGAGACCTTACTTTCCCTATCTATAGATGTAGAGCCAGGATGTCCACACTGAAATGATAAATTAAGAAGGAAGTGGATTGTGGTAAAGTGTCCAAACTATATTTCAAAACTATATTCAGTAGGAATGAAGAGGCAAACAATGTATATTATTTTTCCTTATCCTGACTCATGCTTATTGCTTATCTCCTCCTTTCGATGGTTCAGTGGAAACTTGAATCCTCTTCAATTCCCTGAAGTGATCGTGTACAATCACTCACCCAGAGTAGCCTCCCTTTTCCCACCAAAACGGTCCCACGTGACCTGAGTCTAGCTGTCATCACTCTCTCCTTCATCGACCTAGCTGATGGTCGGGCGGTCTTATGGCTTGGGTCATGTGGCTTCGCTATGGCGGGAAACGGGCACAACTCAAGGGTTAGTGATTGTACGTTCGCTTCAGGGAACTGAAAGATATTCAAGTTTCCACTTAACCGTCGAATGGAGAAGGGAGATAAGCATTATAGCATGAGTCAGGTTAAGTATAAAATATATATTTGAATTGTCGAAGTGTCAAATATTCATGTTACATCAAAACTACCTAAAATATATGGTAACTTAACATGCATCATTTAACATGCGTACATTGATTATGAAACAAACCTGTCTCCTCCATATGGAGCTGGAAGGTTATGCACTACTGGCACTGTAACTGTGAAGATCCGAATAGGAATTGAAGGAAAATTTTCATACAGGTGATGCAGAAACTAAACCAGGAAGTGGCCTATGCTCGTGCCGACCTCGATGACGCCCTCTACAATGGCCAAGGTGACATCAACGCTGCCAGGAAGCGGGTCATCTGGCTGGAGGACAAGATGGGAGAGCTGTGTGGCAAACAGAGGCTCAAGGTGAGGTTGTCATAACACAAGCCCTTCACAGTACTGTGTGTCCTCCTTGAGTCACTGTATGCCATCACTGAATGTCCTCACTGTATGGCCTTATGTCCTTCTTGAGTGGCTGTCTTTAATCATTGAATGTCCTCACTGTATGGCCTTATGTCCTCCTTGAGTGGCTGTCTTTAATCAGTGGTATGGCCTTATGTCCTCCTTTAATCACTTAATCATGAATCCTCACTGTATGGCCTTATGTCCTTCTTGAGTGGCTGTCTTTAATCACTGAATGTTCTCACTGTATGGCCTTATGTCCTCCTTGAGTGGCCGTCTTTAATCACTGAATGTTCTCACTGTATGGCCTTATGTCCTCCTTGAGTGGCTGTCTTTAATCACTGAATGTTCTCACTGTATGGCCTTATGTCCTCCTTGAGTGGCTGTCTTTAATCACTGAATGTTCTCACTGTATGGCCTTATGTCCTCCTTGAGTGGCTGTCTTTAATCACTGAATGTTCTCACTGTATGGCCTTATGTCCTCCTTGAGTGGCTGTCTTTAATCACTGAATGTTCTCACTGTATGGCCTTATGTCCTTCTTGAGTGGTTATCTTTAATCACTGAATGTTCTCACTGTATGGCCTTATGTCCTCCTTGAGTGGTTATCTTTAATCACTGAATGTTCTCACTGTATGGCCTTATGTCCTCCTTGAGTGGCCGTCTTTAATCACTGAATATCCTCACTGTATGGCCTTATGTCCTCCTTGAGTGGCTGTCTTTAATCACTGAATGTCCTCACTGTATGGCCTTATGTCCTCCTTGAGTGGTTATCTTTAATCACTGAATGTCCTCACTGTATGGCCTTATGTCCTCCTTGAGTGGCTGTCTTTAATCACTGAATGTCCTCACTGTATGGCCTTATGTCCTCCTGGCCTTATGTCCTTCTTGAGTGAATGTCCTCACTGTATGGTTATCTTTAATCACTGAATGTCCTCACTGTATGGCCTTATGTCCTCCTTGAGTGGTTATCACTGAATGTCCTCACTTAATCACTGAACTGTGGCCTTATCCTCACTGAATGGCCTCACTGTATGGCCTTATGTCCTCCTTGAGTGGCCGTCTTTAATCACTGAATGTTCTCACTGTATGGCCTTATGTCCTCCTTGAGTGGCCGTCTTTAATCACTGAATGTCCTCACTGTATGGCCTTATGTCCTCCTTGAGTGGCTGTCTTTAATCACTGAATGTCCTCACTGTATGGCCTTATGTCCTCCTTGAGTGGCTGTCTTTAATCACTGAATGTTCTCACTGTATGGCCTTATGTCCTTCTTGAGTGGTTATCTTTAATCACTGAATGTTCTCACTGTATGGCCTTATGTCCTCCTTGAGTGGCTGTCTTTAATCACTGAATATCCTCACTGTATGGCCTTATGGCTAGTTCAGTCCTCATCTTAGCCTTTGTGAACAAAATAATTGAAAAAATTGTAAACTCTCTGTATGTCTTCAGTCTATGTCCTCTCTTGATGTCCTTAACATTCGTCACTCACTGCTTGTTTCTTACTGTCTTACTGTATGTTTTGTATTCCCTCATTGTTTGTGTTTTGTGAATTTCTGTATTTCATTACTACATGCCCTCTCTGTGCTCAGAGTCAGCCCCTTCTAGCCTTGTCAGTGCTGTGCCCACCAAGTGAATCAGGTGATCGGGACAGTGATGACTCTGAGAGACCACAGTTGAGTGATGCTAGCTCTGTCCAGATCGACGGCAGTCTGCGCCATCATGACATCACTATCAGACCCTTCAGAACGCGGTATGGGGAGAGTGCCTCATCAGGAGCAGGATCGTTGATGGCTGCTCTGAAGCGGGCAAAAGCGCTGCGAGAGATGGAAAGGCGGAATAGGGAGATTGAAGAGGAGGCCACGCCCGAGCCTCTCTATAAGCATAAACCAATCGTATTTGCTGACAGTGAGGAGTCATCAGCAGAGGAGTCATCTGATGAGGAGGTATGTAGGCTGTGTATATCTCCTCTGTTTACATTGGCACCAGGTACTGTAGTAACAGTTGTATTAGACATTGTGTGGACATACAACGGGGACTGTTCCTTCTAACCTGAGCATTAGTCATACGGAGCTACTGTACACATGTGCTACTCCCACACAGTTTATCTACTCTCATGCACTCTTAGGATTATCCCTAAAACAACAGAGACATGTAAACAATATCAAAATGACATCTGTATGTGTATATAATCCTGTGAGATATTTGATCACTTTTCTTGCTTTTTGTGTCACTTTTTCATCAGAGCAAAGACGAGGCATCCCAGGCTGAAACCGGTCGGGGAGCTTCCAACAGCCAGGTTAATGATCAGCACTCCGACAAGGGGGAGGAATCCAACAGCCAGGTTAATGATCAGGACTCCGACAAGGGGGAGGAATCCAACAGCCAGGTCAGTGATCAGGACTCCGACAAGGGGGTGGAATCCAACAGCCAGGTTAATGATCAGGACTCCGACAAGGGGGAGGACTCCAACAGCCAGGTCAGTGATCAGGACTCCGACAAGGGGGTGGAATCCAACAGCCAGGTCAGTGACCAGCTTACTGCTTCATCACCAACTGAGGATCCTCCAAAAGTGGAACAGATGCCAACCTTTCTCACTGAGCTGTCCACTCCTAAAAGCAAGGTGACCATCTCAACACTGAATGATGGAGGCAAGAAACCCATGCCAGGTACTCAAAGTAGAAGATAGATAAGTCAAACATTGTTTGCTTCCTGTAAATGGTCTGTATGGAATACAAGGCCCTGCTTGACTGACATTTTGAAATTGATCTCTTCATATTGAACTACGAAGTCTTCATATGGCATCTTTGTCAGTGATGCAATTATGCTATGTCACATGACGTTAGGTCTCATGTCATGTTGTGATGCCTGTCTTTGGGCCACATGTCATGTTGTGATGCCTGTCTTTGGGTCACATGTCATGTTGTGATGCCTGTCTTTGGGTCACATGTCGTGTTTAGATGCCTGTCTTTGGGCCACATGTCATGTCATGATGCCTGTCTTTGGGTCACATGTCAAGTCGTGATGCCTGTCTTTAGGGCCACATGTCATGTCATGATGCCTGTCTTTAGGTCACATGTCGTGATGCCTGTCTTTAGGTCACATGTCATGTCGTGATGCCTGCCTTTGGGTCACATGTCGTGTTGGTGACCTAAAGACAGGCATCATGACATGACATGTAGCCCAAAGACAGGTATCACAACATGACATGTGACCCAAAGACATGTCATGTCGTGATGCCTCTTTTTAGGTGAGGATGCAGCTCAAGACTACTGGAACTCGGAACATCATAGGTTTGAACTGAGTGAGTTTGCAGAAGTGATGCGGGATTTGGACCCGCTCTCCTACCACAACGTGGGTCTGGCTGTACCAGGAACATTCATTAGAAAAGGTCAGGGTTCACATATTGTTTATCAGTAATTAGTTTCTTGGACTCACGTACTCGAGGGGTCAGACTCGACTCAGTCCCGGGTACACAAAATTCACAACTTTCAAGCATCACACAATTTGATGATTGTTCCATCAATATTGAAGTTGATAATTTAGTAATACACATATATGTCGTTAAACAATTACAGTTTGAAGCATGAAATGTATTCTGATCATGCAAATGAACACTTATTTCATTCCGACTTGATATCGTCATGTGACTTACATTTTCTATTGCTATCATAATGTAAAATCAAAGACATACTAAAAAACATACTCCTGATTGTGCATAATCAAAATGACTGAGTTAGTTTCATGGGAATTTCATGTCTTACTAATTTACTTACTAGCATGACAGGACTTTTAGGACTGTAAGGGTTCATGGGTTCAGGTTGCTGTGCATTATGAGTATCACATGATGCAGATATAATCAGCCATTGGTTTTTAGTGAATACCTACAGTCAGCGCAATTCACTGAATGCAAGACGGTTAAAAGGAAGATTTTTTATTGATATTGATGTACAATTCAAGACCGACGCTAGAGAAAGCTCTCTGAGATAGTACATGTGTATCGGGTATGCAAAGATGTTCTTGAGCCAATATTGCAATTCGTGGAAATAAGTCAGCATTTAAAATTGGGTGTTCCTTAAGTTCTTTTGAGTAGTGTGTGAGTCCAGAGGAGGTTTGTTGAGTAGTGAGCAATATTCCAGCAATATCACAGCAATGTTCCAGCAATATTCCAGCAATATCACGGCAGGAGACACCAGAAATGGGCTTCACACATTGTACACATGTGGGGAATCGAACCCGGGTGTTCAGCGTGACGAGCGAACACTTTAACCACTAAGTTACCCTTCCGCCTCTTATTCCTGCCACCAGCCAAGGGTTAACGATTTTAGTGTTGACGACCCAGACAGATTGTTAGGGGCATACAGATAATGAGATATTCATGATTCTCACTCTGGCATCCTTGTGAAGGTCGTCATCGTCATTCACATCTGATATTAAACATCCAAATTATGTTTACGTGACAAATGCTTTTTCATCGTTCTTTTCACTATCCAGATCAAAATACACCCATACATTTGATTTTTTGTCTTTCTCCATGTCTATCAATTGTCAACAAGATAATTACCTAATCATTTTAAGAAGTCAAGTCTCAAATGATGAATAATATCAGACGTTAACGGCCGCTCATGCTTAGCACATGGCAGACAGACAGTCTGACAACGTAACCTAATTAGAGTTATCTCCCCTTATCGAGTCCTCGAGTCCTAGAGAATGGACTCGAGTCTAGCTAAACCCGACTCGTGCTTGAGTACTCTGGTACCCGTGGAAGCCCTATCAGTAATATCAAATTTCTAAAACTGTCGGAAAATAACAAACATTTTGTTGGTAATATTGCAATATGAGACAAAAAAAGGAATTAAAGATGTGTTCATGATTTTTTCCTTTTTTCTGTTTTATCAAAGTTTTAGCGAAAAAAGAAGACACCTTGTAAGGATATAAATATGTTGCTGATGTGAATTTCTTTTGACAGAGGACTCTGAATTTGAGGAGTTGCCATGGCGACCACATCGGAAGGGCAGTGATATCAAGGACGTCCATGTAAGATCATTCATGAGAGTTGCAGGCAGCAGCTAGCACAAACTCTGTTAACTGCAGATGTGTCATCCTAGATGAGCAGAAGTAATGGCATTTGTAATAGTATACAGCTTTGTTATCCCCCGCTGTGCGTTTAGCGCTAAGCGGGGGATATAGTATTAGGCTCCGTCCGTCCGTCCGTGCACGTACGTACGAATTGGAATATCTTAAGAACCGTTCGCTAGATTCTTTTCATAATTGGTACCTAGGTTCATCACAGTATAAGAAAGGTTCAAGTAAGGTTTGGTGACCTTGACCTTAATTTCAAGGTCACAAGGGGACTTTAACGTTTTACCTGCATGTTAAGCTATCTCAAGAACCCTTCACTGGATTTTTTTCATATTCAATACAAAGCTTTATGTAGCGAAGGCGCAGGGCCCAGTTGATTTTGGTGACCTTCACATAATTTTCAAGGTCATGGCGACACTTTGATGATTTCAGCATGTAAACCTGCATGTTAAGCAATCTCAAGAACCGTTCACTGGATTTTCTTCATATTCAATACAAAGCTTTATGTAGGGAAGGCGCAGGGCCCAGTCGATTTTGGTGCAGGTTAACCTGAATTGTCAGCAAGATATTTCAAAAACAGTTCACTGGATCTTCTTCAAAGACTTTCAAGACTTCCCTTAAATGTTTTTCAAAAAGCAATTTCTTTAGTACTATTTTTGAATATTTCATACACTATGACATTCATGTCAAAGTCAGTCTTGAAAATATGTGTGTGTTTGAACACCTAAAGAGCAAGACATCAAGAGAGGTTGACTGGTCATGTTTTGGTTGACATTTAACTTAAACTTTGATTACTTTGATTTGATAATTTGTGGCGGGGGATTATGTCACCTTAGTGACAATGCTTGTTTAGTTTCCATGATTCCTTATAAATGATGAGAAAGACCATTCATCACTACAGTTAAAGAAATGATTTTATCTGCAGCGTGTTGCCTTGGACAAACTAGCAACACGGATCCATGGGATGCAGGACAAGTTGTTCAGTGCTGCCATGTTGTCAGTCAACCCCACCCGCAGAAAGACCAACGTGCCTCGGGAGGTCAGCTTCCTCCAGAGTCTGGACAGTCAACGTAGGTAACCAGTGTCAGCCCATGTCTGAGATAGTGACATAAGTTGATTCATGTCTGAGATAGTGACACCTGTTGATTCATGTCTGAGATAGTGACATAAGTTGAATCATGTCTGAGATAGTGACATAAGTTGATTCATGTCTGAGATAGTGACATAAGTTGATTCATGTCTGAGATAGTGACATAAGTTGAATCCTGTCTGAGATAGTGACATAAGTTGATTCATGTCTGAGATAGTGACATAAGTTGATTCATGTCTGAGATAGTGACATAAGTTGATTCATGTCTGAGATAGTGACATAAGTTGATTCATGTCTGAGATAGTGACATAAGTTGATTCATGTCTGAGATAGTGACACCTGTTGAATCATGTCTGAGATAGTGACACCTGTTGAATCATGTCTGAGATAGTGACACCTGTTGATTCATGTCTGAGATAGTGACATAAAGTTGATTCATGTCTGAGATAGTGACACCTGTTGAATCATGTCTGAGATAGTGACACCTGTTGAATCATGTCTGAGATAGTGACATAAAGTTGATTCATGTCTGAGATAGTGACATAAAGTTGATTCATGTCTGAGATAGTGACATAAGTTGATTCATGACTGAGATAGTGACACCTGTTGAATCATGTCTGAGATAGTGACATAAAGTTGATTCATGTCTGAGATAGTGACATAAAGTTGATTCATGTCTGAGATAGTGACATAAGTTGATTCATGTCTGAGATAGTGACATGAGTTGATTCATGTCTGAGATAGTGACACCTGTTGAATCATGTCTGAGATAGTGACATAAAGTTGATTCATGTCTGAAATAATGACATAAGTTGATTCATGTCTGAGATAGTGACATAAGTTGATTCATGTCTGAGATAGTGACACCTGTTGAATCGTGTCTGAGATAGTGACATAAAGTTGATTCATGTCTGAGATAGTGACATAAAGTTGATTCATGTCTGAGATAGTGACACCTGTTGAATCATGTCTGAGATAGTGACATGACAAAGTTGATTCATGTCTGAGATAGTGACATAAAGTTGATTCATGTCTGAGATAGTGACATAAAGTTGATTCATGTCTGAGATAGTGACACCTGTTGAATCATGTCTGAGATAGTGACATAAGTTGATTCATGTCTGAGATAGTGACACCTGTTGAATCATGTCTGAGATAGTGACACCTGTTGAATCATGTCTGAGATAGTGACATAAAGTTGATTCATGTCTGAGATAGTGACACCTGTTGAATCATGTCTGAGATAGTGACACCTGTTGAATCATGTCTGAGATAGTGACATAAAGTTGATTCATGTCTGAGATAGTGACATAAAGTTGATTCATGTCTGAGATAGTGACATAAGTTGAATCATGTCTGAGATAGTGACACCTGTTGAATCATGTCTGAGATAGTGACACCTGTTGAATCATGTCTGAGATAGTGACATAAAGTTGATTCATGTCTGAGATAGCGACATAAAGTTGATTCATGTCTGAGATAGTGACATAAGTTGATTCATGTCTGAGATAGTGACATAAGTTGATTCATGTCTGAGATAGTGACATAAGTTGATTCATGTCTGAGATAGTGACACCTGTTGAATCATGTCTGAGATAGTGACATAAGTTGATTCATGTCTGAGATAGTGACACCTGTTGAATCATGTCTGAGATAGTGACATAAGTTGATTCATGTCTGAGATAGTGACACCTGTTGAATCATGTCTGAGATAGTGACATAAGTTGATTCATGTCTGAGATAGTGACACCTGTTGAATCATGTCTGAGAGATAGTGAGATAGTAAACGCACCTGTTGAATCATGTCTGAGATAGTGACACCTGTTGATTCATGTCTGAGATAGTGACATAAGTTGAATCATGTCTGAGATAGTGACACCTGTTGATTCATGTCTGAGATAGTGACATAAGTTGATTCATGTCTGAGATAGTGACACCTGTTGAATCATGTCTGAGATAGTGACATAAGTTGAATCATGTCTGAGATAGTGACACCTGTTGAATCTTGTCTAAGATAGTGACATAAGTTGATTCATGTCTGAGATAGTGACACCTGTTGAATCATGTCTGAGAAAGTGACATAAGTTGAATCATGTCTGAGATAGTGACACCTGTTGATTCATGTCTGAGATAGTGACACCTGTTGAATCATGTCTGAGATAGTGACATAAGTTGATTCATGACTGAGATAGTGACACCTGTTGATTCATGTCTGAGATAGTGACATAAGTTGAATCATGTCTGAGATAGTGACACCTGTTGAATCATGTCTGAGATAGTGACACCTGTTGAATCATGTCTGAGATAGTGACATAAGTTGATTCATGACTGAGATAGTGACACCTGTTGATTCATGACTGAGATAGTGACACCTGTTGATTCATGTCTGAAATAGTGACATAAAGTTGATTCATGTCTGAGATAGTGACATAAAGTTGATTCATGTCTGAGATAGTGACACCTGTTGAATCATGTCTGAGATATTGACACCTGTTGAATCATGTCTGAGATATTGACACCAATATAGATATGGCCCCTTTGCTTTTCCTGACAGACAGGAAGTTGCCCAAACTAGTGATGTTGGCAATAGCACTGTTCACGGACAGTATACAAAGCAAAGGAATACTTACCTGATGTTGGTATAATGCTCCAGTTCAACTCTTACTCAAAGAGCATCTTTGTTCAGTAGACTCTTCCATCTGAAGATACTCTATGTTGTCTCCAGATTTGTTCACATTTTCTGTCTGAAAGACAGTTCCATCTAATGTCAGGAACATGAGAGAGGTTGAATGAGCTGTTTTGTGTTTCCAGAGTCAAACAAGGGTGCTGCTCCCAACAAGGTAGGTCAAACTACATGGCAATGTCTTGTTAACTACAAGATACATGCCATATGTTGTCTACAGGATACATGCCATATGTTGTCTACAGGATACATGCCATATGTTATCTACAGGATACATGCCATATGTTGTCTACAAGATACATGCCATATGTTGTGTACAAGATACATGCCATATGTTGTCTACAAGATACATGCCATATGTTGTGTACAAGATACATGCCATATGTTGTCTACAAGATACATGCCATATGTTGTCTACAAGATACATGCCATATGTTGTCTACAAGATACATGCCATATGTTGTCTACAAGATACATGCCATATGTTGTCTACAAGATACATGCCATATGTTGTCTACAAGATACATGCCATATGTTGTCTACAAGATACATGCCATATGTTGTCTACAAGATACATGCCATATGTTGTCTACAAGATACATGCCATATGTTGTCTACAAGATACATGCCATATGTTGTCTACAAGATGGTTCTCACAGTCTGTGACGTGGTGATGTGACTATACACCACTGGTGAAGAATATGCTCATGTTGGATGCACTGGTTTGCCTGGACAACATGTTAGTATTTACAGGCTGCAATACTTGATGGAAAAGTTAACATACAGGGTAGTTAGCATACACTTGATATCCACCAGGCTTCCTGGGACGTCCCAGCTGCTGAATCCCCAAGGCCACAGACCATCGACACCGTCATCCTACCGAGAATAGAGGAGAAGCGTCTTGGGACATCACTGTCTGGTCGTCTGGTGTACTACCCCAAGCCCATCCCACCTCCAGAAGTGCTGCCCATTACACGAACTGTGAGTCTCACCCTGCAGTCACTGGATCCCAGTCATAACAACACTTGCTTAGTTGTATTCATAGAGCAAATCTAGGCAGGCTTGGCACAAAAACGATGTGTGTCATAACAGATCACCATTGTGTTTAAGTTATCAGTAATTGTCAATGTGTTATACAGTAAGTGAAGCCCACCTCCCACGGGTACAGTAAGTGAAGTCCACCTCACCCGGGTACAGTAAGTGAAGTCCGCCTCACCCGGGTACAGTAAGTGAAGTCCACCTCACCCGGGTACAGTAAGTGAAGTCCACCTCCCACGGGTACAGTAAGTGAAGCCCACCTCCCACGGGTACAGTAAGTGAAGTCCACCTCCCACGGGTACAGTAAGTGAAGCCCACCTCACATGGGTACAGTAAGTGAAGCCCACCTCCCACGGGTACAGTAAGTGAAGCCCACCTCACACGGGTACAGTAAGTGAAGTCCACCTCCCACGGGTACAGTACGTGAAGTCCCACCTCCCACGGGTACAGTAGGTGAAGCCCACCTCACATGGGTACAGTAAGTGAAGCCCACCTCACATGGGTACAGTAAGTGAAGCCCACCTCACACGGGTACAGTAAGTAAAGTCCACCTCACACGGGTACAGTAAGTGAAGCCCACCTCACACGGGTACAGTAGGTGAAGGGTACAGTAGGTGAAGCCCATCCCACAGGGTACAGTACGGGTACAGTAAGTGAAGTCCACCTCCCACGGGTACAGTAAGTGAAGCCCACCTCCCACGGGTACAGTAAGTGAAGTCCACCTCACACGGGTACAGTAAGTGAAGTCCACCTCACACGGGTACAGTAAGTGAAGCCCACCTCACATGGGTACAGTAAGTGAAGCCCACCTCACACGGGTACAGTAAGTGAAGCCCACCTCCACACACAGTAAGTGAAGCCCACCTCACACCTCCCAGGGGCTGCAGGGGTACAGTAAGTGAAGCCCACCTCACAAGGGTACAGTAAGGTGAAGTCCACCTCACACGGTACAGTAAGTGAAGCCCACCTCCACGGGTACAGTAAGTGAAGCCCACCTCCCACGGGTACAGTAAGTGAAGTCCACCTCACACGGGTACAGTAAGTGAAGCCCACCTCACATGGGTACAGTAAGTGAAGCCCACCTCCCACGGGTACAGTAAGTGAAGTCCACCTCCCACGGGTACAGTAAGTGAAGCCCACCTCACACGGGTACAGTGAGTGAAGTCCACCTCACACGGGTACAGTGAGTGAAGTCCACCTCACACGGGTACAGTGAGTGAAGTCCACCTCACACGGGTACAGTGAGTGAAGCCCACCTCCCACGGGTACAGTAAGTGAAGCCCACCTCCCACGGGTACAGTAAGTGAAGCCCACCTCACACGGGTACAGTAAGTGAAGTCCACCTCCACGGTACAGTACAGTGAAGCCCACCTCTCCACGGGTACAGTAAGTGAAGCCCACCTCCCACGGGTACAGTAAGTGAAGCCCACCTCCCACGGGTACAGTAAGTGAAGTCCACCTCCCACGGGTACAGTACGTGAAGCCCACCTCACACGGGTACAGTAGGTGAAGCCCACCTCACATGGGTTCAGTAAGTGAAGCCCACCTCACACGGGTACAGTAAGTGAAACCCACCTCCCACGGGTACAGTAAGTGAAGCCCACCTCCCACGGGTACAGTAAGTGAAGCCCACCTCACACAGGTACAGTAAGTGAAGCCCACCAGTCAATGCTTGTATATTGTGATGGTTGACATAGTTCACACTCATCATGTATTTTTCTCTTTTCCAGGACTTAAGCTGTGAAAGACTGAATACCTCAAAGTATTTCTGAACTAATTTTGCGTCATTCAACCTGTTTCAGTTGAATTTGGAGATCAGTTTTGTTTATTTTAGAACCAGAACAAAGTGTACCCAAAGTTGACTGACCTGTACGTTGACCCTGATGCATGTCAGAAGGATCCAGCCCAGCGGTTGGTTGACCAGCGCAACCTGATGGAGGAGACGAAGCTGGTGCTGTACCGTGAAAAGCCCAAGCCAAAACCCAGTGGCCCCAGTGTACATGAGCGGAGGTTCCGGCGAATGTTGGAGAGAGACAAGACAGCCAGCAGCAAGACCTCAGCGTGAGTTGGAAGAGCATGTGAAACATACTTTACCTTTGATATTTGTTGAGTTGATACTCAATGCCCTACTCAGTATTTTTCCAGCTTGATAGAAGATGATAGTCTGTAAACAATCAAGTTATTGATATTTGATCAGCTCGTCCAGTGTTTTCACCTCTAAGACAAACACAGGATCATCACATGAATACTGTGGCAATGGTATGGACAGTACACTGGTAACTGAAATGGACAATACTGTCACAAATGGTAGAGACAATGTTCTTGCTAGGGACAATACTGTGACATGTGGTATGGCCAGTCACGGTACTGTGACTAGTCGTTTGGACAATGCTGTTGTCACCAATGGTATGGATAATTGGGTATCAAGTGTTATGGAATATACTGCTTACTTGTATCTCCTTGTTTTCAGTCCATTCATATTCCACACAGAAGGGGATCTGTTCAGGTATCACAGACTTTGTAGATCACAGTAGGCAGGTGTAGTGAGATCAGCACAGTAGGCAGGTGTAGTGAGATCAGCACAGTAGGCAGGTGTAGTGAGATCAGCACAGTAGGCAGGTGTAGTGAGATCAGCACAGTAGGCAGGTGTAGCTAGATCAGCACAGTAGGCAGGTGTAGTGAGATCAGCACAGTAGGCAGGTGTAGTGAGATCAGCACAGTAGGCAGGTGTAGTGAGATCAGCACAGTAGGCAGGTGTAGTGAGATCAGCACAGTAGGTAGGTGTAGTGAGATCAGCACAGTAGGTAGGTGTAGTGAGATCAGTACAGTAGGTAGGTGTAGTGAGATCAGTACAGTAGGTAGGTGTAGTAGATGAGATCAGTACAGTAGGCAGTGTAGTGAGATCAGCACAGTAGGCAGGTGTAGTGAGATCAGTACAGTAGGCAGGTGTAGTGAGATCAGCACAGTAGGCAGGTGTAATGAGATCAGTACAGTAGGCAGGTGTAGTGAGATCAGCACAGCACAGCAGGGTGTGTAGTGAGATCAGCACAGTAGGCAGGTGTAGTGAGATCAGCACAGTAGGCAGGTGTAGTGAGATCAGCACAGTAGGCAGGCGAATGAGATCAGTACAGTAGGCAGGTGTAGCTTGAGATCAGTACAGTAGGCAGGTATAGTGAGATCACCACAGTAGGCAGGTGTAGCGAGATCAGCACAGTAGGCAGGTGTAGTGAGATCAGCACAGTAGGTAGGTGTAGTGAGATCAGAACAGTAGGCAGGTGTAGTGAGATCAGCACAGTAGGCAGGTGTAGTGAGATCAGTACAGTAGGCAGGTGTAGTGAGATCAGTACAGTAGGTAGGTGTAGTGAGATCAGCACAGTAGGCAGGTGTAGTGAGATCAGCACAGTAGGCAGGTGTAGTGAGATCAGCACAGTAGGCAGGTGTAGCGAGATCAGTACAGTAGGCAGGTGTAGCGAGATCAGTACAGTAGGCAGGTATAGTGAGATCACCACAGTAGGCAGGTGTAGCGAGATCATTAAAGAAAGGCAGGTGTAGTGAGATCAGCACAGTAGGCAGGTGTTGCTGGATCCCAGTAGCTAGATAGGGAGGTACTGTGTGTGTTGGAGAGGGTGTGTGGGTATAGGGAGGTACTGTGTGTGTTGGAGAGGGTGTGTGGGTATAGGGAGGGGCTGTGTGTGTTGGAGAGGGTGTGTGGGTATAGGGAGGGGCTGTGTGTGTTGGAGAGGGTGTGTGGGTATAGGGAGGGAGCTGTGGGTGTTGGAGAGGGTGTGTGGGTATAGGAGGAGCTGTGGGTGTTGGAGGAAGGTGTGTGTGGAGTGTTGGAGACTAGGGAAAGTTACTGTGTTGTGGGTGTGTGGGTATAGGAGGTACAGTGGGTGTTGGAGAGGGTGTGTGGGTATAGGGAGGTACTGTGGGTGTTGGAGGAGGTGTGTGGATATAGGGTATAGAGAGGGGAGGTACTGTGGGTGTTGGAGAGAGGAGTGTTTGGGTATAGGGAGGTACTGTGGGTGTTGGAGAGGGTGTGTGGGTATAGGGAGGGCTGTGGGTGTTGGAGAGGGTGTGTGGGTATAGGGAGGGTGTGTGTGTGTTGGAGAGGGTGTGTGGGTATAGGGGCGACTGTGGGTGTTGGAGAGGTGTGTGTGGTATAGGGAGTTACTGTGTGTGTTGGAGAGGGTGTGTGGGTATAGGAGGGCTGGGCTGTGGGTGTTGGGAGAGGGTGTTGTGGGTATGGAAGGGTGTGGGCATAGGAGGCACTGTGGGTGTTGGAGAGGGTGTGTGGGTATAGGGAGGAGTTACTGTGTGGGTGTTGGAGAGGGTGTGTGGGTATAGGGAGGTACTGTGGGTGTTGGAGAGGGTGTGTGGGTATAGGGAGCTACTGTGTGTGTTTGGAGAGGTGTGTGTGGGTATAGGGAGGTAGCTGTGGGTGTTGGAGAGGGTGTGTGGGTATAGGGAGGTACTGTGGGTGTTGGAGAGGGTGTGTGGGTATAGGGAGGGCTGTGGGTGTTGGAGAGGGTGTGTGGGTATAGGGAGGGGCTGTGTGTGTTGGAGAGGGTGTGTGGGTATAGGGAGGTACTGTGGGTGTTGGAGAGGGTGTGTGGGTATAGGGAGGTACTGTGTGTGTTGGAGAGGGTGTGTGGGTATAGGGAGGTACTGTGGGTGTTGGAGAGGGCTGTGTGTGGGTATGTGTTTAGGAGGGGGCTGTGGGTGTTGGAGAGGGGTGTTTGGGTATAGGGAGTTACTGTGTGTGTTGGAGAGAGGGGTGTGTGGGTATAGGGGCAGCTGTGGGTGTTGGAGAAGTGTGTGGGTATAGGGAGGTACTGTGTGTGTGTTGGAGAGGGTGTTTGTGGAGTATAGGGAGGGAGTTACTGTGGGTGTTGGAGAGGGTGTTTGGGTAGAAGGAGGGGCTGTGGGTGTTGTTAAGGAGAGGGGTGTTTGGGTATAAAGGGAGCAGTTGGAGAGGAGTGTGTAGGTATAGGGAAGTACTGTAGGTGTTGGAGAGGTGTGTGATGTCTATAGATAAACCAGACAAAGTCAGTTTGGCTGATAAAACCATAAAATCTTCAAGCTTTCTTTTGTGTCACTAGAATGCTTCTTGTATTGCTGTCATTTCAGAAAAAACTGAAACAGACGTTTTCGATGCTTAATATAGCCAAAAGATCACAAGGGAGGTAGCATATGTTTGTGTGTATGGTTTAGATAGTAAAGGACCCATGAGTTCGGGTTAAATTGGCCTTTAGTAACCCATGCTTGTCGTAGAAACGACTAACAGGATCAGGTGAGGGTCAGGTCTTTCAGCTGACTTGGATGACACATGCCACGGTTCCCAATTGTGCAGATCGTCTCATGCTGTTGATCACTGGATTGTCTGGTCCAGACTTCGATGCATTTACAGACCGCCGCCATATAGCTGGAATATTGCTGAGTCACGACATAAAGACTAGAACTCACTGCTCCATAGTCGTAAAGCATGTTTGTGTGCATTATTGAGGTAATAAGGCACACGTTTGTGTGCATGGTTCAGATAGTAAACCTTGTGTTTGTGTGTATTGTTGAGATAGTACAGCATTTGGTTTGTGCATTGTTCAGTATTGGCTGTTGATGTATAGAATGTTCTCGTATGTCTCACCATAGTTTGTAGTCAGACAGTGTTCTAAATTACCTCTGAGTATCAACAAACTCTAGACAAGGAAGTACCACTGTAGTCCACTCCCATGTAGATGGTGCAATGCTTCATCTATATTCATGGACTGTTACCATAGCAGTAAGAACATAACACCCTCTTACCAGGTCATTAGAAAAATATTGCACACAATGCACCCACCAAATTGGTCATAATAAAAATAATTGCCGATTATCTATGTTTCAATTTACTAGGCTTAGTTTTGACATTTCTAGTCAGAAAATAATTTGAGATCTTCCAGCCCCCGCATATAAGGCAACCCTTTCTCAGCCCCTTCATTTCAGGAATGAAAACCTGACCTTATACGCGGCGATATACAGTATTGCATGTGTCCTTGAAGACTATAACGCTTATCTCATGTGTCCTTGAAGACTATAACGCTTATCCCATGTGTCCTTGTAGACTATAACGCTTATCTCATGTGTCCATGAAGACTATAACGCTTATCGCATGTGTCCTTGTAGACTATAACGCTTATCCCATGTGTCCTTGTAGACTATAACGCTTATCTCATGTGTCCTTGAAGACTATAATGCTTATCGCATGTGTCCTTGAAGAGGCCTAATGGTTATCCCATGTGTCTTTGCAGACTATAACGCTTATTGCATGTGTCCTTGAAGACTATAGCGCTTATCCCATGTGTCCTTGTAGAGGCCTAATGCTTATCCCATGTGTGCTTGAAGACTATAACTCTTATCCCATGTGTCCTTGAAGACTATAACGCTTATCCCATGTGTCCTTGAAGACTATAATGATTATCTCATGTGTCCTTGTAGACTATAATGATTATCTCATGTGTCCTTGTAGACTATAGTGCTTACCCATGTGTCCTTGTAGACTATAACACTTCTCCCATGTGTCCTTGTACACTATAACGCTTATCTCATGTGTCCTTGTAGACTATAGTGCTTATCCCATGTGTCCCTGAGACTATAACACTTATCCCATGTGTCCTTGTAGACTATAATCATTATCTCATGTGTCCTTGAAGACTATAGTGCTTATCCCATGTGTCCTTGTAGACTATAACTCTTATCCCATGTGTCCTTGTAGACTCTAATGCCTATTCCATGTGTCCTTGTTGACTGTAATGCTTATCCCATGTGTCATTGTAGACTATAACGCTTATCCCATGTGTCCTTGTAGAGGCCTAATGCTTATCCCATGTGTCCTTGAAGACTATAACACTTATCCCATATGTCCTTGAAGACTATAATGCTTATCCCATGTGTCTTTGTAGACTATAACGCTTATTGCATGTGTCCTTGAAGACTATAACGCTTATCCCATGTTTCCTTGTAGAGGCCTAATGCTTATCCCATGTGTCCTTGAAGACTATCACTCTTATCCCATGTGTCCTTGTAGACTATAACACTTATCCCATGTGTCCTTGTTGACTGTAATGCTTATTCCATGTGTCCTTGTAGAGCCCTAATGCTTATCCCATGTGTCCTTGCAGACTAAAACACTTATCCCATATGTCCTTGAAGACTATAACGCTTATCCCATGTGTCTTTGTAGACTATAACGCTTATTGCATGTGTCCTTGAAGACTATAACTCTTATCCCATGTGTCCTTGAAGACTATAACTCTTATCCAATGTGTCCTTGTAGACTATAACACTTATCCCATGTGTCCTTGTTGACTGTAATGCTTATCCCATGTGTCTTTGTTGACTGTAACACTTATCCCATGTGTCCTTGTAGACTATAACACTTATCCCATGATGATTTCCTTGTAGATGATAATGCTTATCCCATGTGTCCTTGTAGACTCTAACACTTATCTCATGTGTCCTTGTAGAGCCCTAATGCTTATCCCATGTGTCCTTGTAGACTCTAATGCTTATTCCATGTGTCCTTGTTGACTGTAATGCTTATCCCATGTGTCCTTGTAGACTATAACACTTATCCCCATGTCCTTGTAGATTATAGTGCTTATCCCATGTGTCCTTGTAGACTATAACACTTATCTCATCTCACCATGTAGACTATAACGCTTATTGCATGTGTCCTTGTAGATTATAACACTTATCCCATGTGTCCTTGTAATGCTTATCACATTTGTCCTTGAAGACTATAGCGCTTATCTCATGTGTGGTTGTGGAATATAGCACTTATTGCATCCTAGTAGATTATGATGCACACAACAATACTTATCTGATGTGTCACTATAAAAGACACTTATCTGAAAACCCATAATAACCGATATCCTGTGCTTCTGTACATGACTGGCATTATCTCATTTGGATGTGGCCAACTCTGACCTGTATCCATTTGTCCATGTATCTATACTTGGCCAGGGTAGGCTACTTGTTATCCCCGCCGGTAATCTCAGAAATGTTTAAAAAGGGGGATTGATTGTTCCAGACACAAGTGACCCATGTGGGAGGTCCATGCCCACATGATCAATCTCTGTTTTCTCCAGTCCCAACCTGACCATGTGTGTCATCGCACCCAGCTGTGAATGGGTACCTCATTAGGATGAGAAAGACACAATAACACGGTGTGCCTTGTGGCTGCAAGAGTTGTATGTTCCCCAGGGAGTTGAGATTGATAATACGACGTGCCATTGAGATTAACATCCAATGATTGAGGGAAAAAACACAAGCACCTTGAGCATGTACTAGTTGCATGGATATGTGCGCTATATAAATATCCTATAATAATAATAAGGGGCGCGGTGGACGAGCTGGCTAAGGCACCAGGCTAGTGATCCAGCAAGGTTGAGGTGACAGGATCGAGCCCACCTGTGACTGGGTTAAAAACTTTGGAGTCAACTTTGTGTGCAGACTCTTTCAGTGTTGTCACAACCCCTAGTGTACAGTACACAACCCTGTGCACTTAAAAAAACACACGAATCCGTTGGTATATGACCAGATGGTGGCCGCATGAATACGTGCAAACACCTAGTTGCGGGTACAGCAACGTGCAGTAAGACTTGGACAAAGTACTGTGACTATGTGTCCCAGTCCACCCAGCTGTGAATGGGCACCTCGTAAGGATGAGAACGCCACAATAACTCGGTGCGCCTAGTGGCTGCAAGAGTTGTATACTCCCTAGGGAGTTGAGATTGATAATACGATGTGCCGTTGAGATTGACATCCAGTGATCGAGGGAAAAAATACCAGCGCCTTGAGCATGCACTAGTTGCGTGGATATGTGCGCTATATAAATATCCTATAATAATAATAATAATAACAAATGGCATAGCCTCATGCTCACGTCATCAGTCAGTGGTTTTGTACATGCTGCTGTCATGCTGATTTTCTGAGTTGTAACCATGGTAAACTGTAGCACCTCTAAGTACTGTGATCACACTGGTATCAGACTACACTGACTGACGACTGAGTAAATGTCACTAAGGTAACTGAGGGTTTATGTTGGATTTCTATGTTGGATGGCAACTTGATGATCCTTCCTTGTGCGTGATCACTGACTGGTGAGGAGAAACCATTTTATTGTCTTCAGTGTGTTTTCCAAGTTTGGTTATGGAGGATGGATTTAGTTTCTTGAAATGTCGCCATAAATTGTTTTCAGAGGTAGATTGCCAGGATTTCCATTTTGGACTATTGAGTTTTTGTCAGCTGTTGACTTCTACCATTGTGTTGTTTCAGCTGTCAACACGTGGGGCAAGATGAAGCCCAAGTCTCGAGGGAACCAGTACTCAGGTCTCCGATGGGAAAGAGTGAAGGTAGGACATCTATATCCCAGGATAGAGTGAAGGTAGGACATCTATATCCCAGGATAGGGTGAAGGTAGGACAATGTCTATATCCCAGGGTAGGGTGACGGTAGGACAATGTCTATATCCCAGGGTAGGGTGAAGGTAGGACATCTATATCCCAGGATAGGGTGAAGGTAGGACAATGTCTATATCCCAGGATAGGGTGAAGGTAGGGCAATGTCTATATCCCAGGATATGGTGAAGGTAGAACAATGTCTATATCCCAGGATAGGGTGAAGGTAGGACAATGTCTATATCCCAGGATAGGGTGAAGGTAGGGCAATGTCTATATCCCAGGATAGGGTGAAGGTAGGGCAATGTCTATATCCCAGGATAGGGTGAAAGAAGGGCAATGTCTATATCCCAGGATAGGGTGAAGGTAGGACAATGTCTATATCCCAGGATAGGGTGCAGGTAGAACAGCGGCTATATCCCAGTATAGGGTGATGGTAGGACAATGTCTATATCCCAGGATAGGGTGAAGGTAGGACCATGTCTATATCCCAGTATAGGGTGAAGGTAGGACAATGTCTATATCCCAGGATAGGGTGAAGGTAGGACAATGTCTATATCCCAGGATAGGGTGAAGGTAGGGCAATGTCTATATCCCAGGATAGGGTGAAGATAGGGCAATGTCTATATCCCAGGATAGGGTGAAATAAGGGCAATGTCTATATCCCAGGATAGGGTGAAGGTAGGACAATGTCTATATCCCAGGATAGGGTGAAGGTAAGACAATGTCTATATCCCAGGATAGGGTGACGGTAGGACAATGTCTATATCCCAGGATGGGGTGAAGGTAGGACAATGTCTATATCCCTGGATAGGGTGAAAGGAGGGCAATGTCTATATCCCAGGATAGGGTGATGGTAGGACAATGTCTATATCCCAGGATAGGGTGAAAGGAGTGCAATGTCTATATCCCAGGATAGGGTGAAGGTAGGACGTGTATATCCAAGTATAGGGTGAAGGTAGAACAGCGTCTATATCCCAGGATAGGCTGAAGTAGGACCATGTCCATATCCAAGGATATGGTAAAGGTAGTGTAAGTGGTGGTGTACAATGTGTGTGGTATATTTCACTGACTGAGTGACGTATATTTCAGACACTTGTCCACAGTAACCTGGTGTCTGCCCGAGTGGAGGAGAGGAGGGATGCTGCCAAGGTTGGTTCAGTACACACACCTACCACACAGCACAGCAGAACACAGCTACCACACAGCACAACACACACAGCACAGCAGGACACCTAGCTACCACACAGCACAGCAGAACACAGCTACCACACAGCACAACACACACAGCACAGCAGGACACCTAGCTACCACACAGCACAGCAGGACACACAGCTACCCCCACAGCACAGCAGGACACCTAGCTACCACACCGCACATGACACACAACTACACCCACAGCACAGCAGGACACCTAGCTACCACACAGCACAGCATTACCCACAGCTACCCCCACAGCACAGCAGGACACCTAGCTACCACACCGCACAGGAGGACACATAGCTACCACACAGCACAGCAGGAAACAGCTACCACACAGCACAGAACATACAGCTACCACACAGCACAACACACACAGCACAGCAGGACACCTAGCTACCACACAGCACAGCATTACCCACAGCTACCCCCACAGCACAGCAGGACACCTAGCTACCTAGCTACTATACAGCACAGTGGGTCGCACAGCTACCATACAGCAGAGCAGGACACCTAGCTACCACACAGCACAGCAGGTCACACAGCTACCACACAGCACAGCAGGACACACACAGCACAGCAGGACACCTAGCTACCACACAGCACAGCATTACCCACAGCTACCCCCACAGCACAGCAGGACCCCTAGCTACCACACCGCACAGGAGGACACATAGCTACCACACAGCACAGCAGGAAACAGCTACCACACAGCACAGAACATACAGCTACCACACAGCACAACACACACAGCACAGCAGGACACCTAGCTACCACACAGCACAGCAGGACACACAGCTACCCCCACAGCACAGCAGGACACCTAGCTACCATACAGCAGAGCAGGACACCTAGCTACCACACAGCACAGCAGGACACACAGCTACCACACAGCACAGCAGGACACACAGCTACCACACAGCACAGTGGGACACACAGCTACCACACAGCATAGTAGGACACACAGCTACCACAGAGCACAGCGGGACACACATCTACCACAGAGCACAGCGGGACACACATCTACCACAGAGCACAGCAGGACACACAGCTACCACACTGCACAGCAGGACACACAGCTACAACACAGCACAGAGGGATACACAGCTACAACACAGCACAGCACAGCAGGACACCTAGCTACCACACAGCACAGAACATACAGCTACCACACAGCACATCAGGACACCTAGCTACCACACAGCACAGGACACACAGCTACCACACAGCACAGCAGGACAAACAGCTACCCCCACAGCAGAGCAGGACACCAAGCTACCACACAACACAGCAGGACACCTAGCTACCACACAGCACATCAGGACACCTAGCTACCACACAGCACAGGACACACAGCTACCACACAGCACAGCAGGACAAACAGCTACCCCCACAGCAGAGCAGGACACCTAGCTACCACACAACACAGCAGGACACCTAGCTACCACACAGCACATCAGGACACCTAGCTACCACACAGCACAGGACACACAGCTACCACACAGCACAGCAGGACAAACAGCTACCCCCACAGCACAGCAGGACACCTAGCTACCACACAACACAGCAGGACACCTAGCTACCACACAGCACAGCAGGACACACAGCTACCACACAGCACAGCAGGACACCTAGCTACCACATAGCACAGCAGGATGCACAGCTAGCACACACAGCTACCACACAGCACAGTGGGACACACAGCTACCACACAGCACAGCAGGACACACAGCTACAACACAGCACAGCGGGACACACAGTTACTACACAGCACAGTGGGACACAGCACAGCAGGACACACAGCTACCACACAGCACAGCAGGACAGACAGCTGCAACAAAGCACGGGAGGACACATAGCTACCACAGAGCACAGCTCGACACATCTGTCACAGCACAGCACAGCAGGACACACCTGTCTCTTCAGATCCTAACAGCTGTCTCTTCACACCATGACATATGACACAAGACAGCTATCTTTGTACATCACATAAGACAACAATCTCTGATGCTGCCCCCTTCTTGATCTGCTGCAGCAACTTGGCTTGCTGCGTTGTGGAGACACAATGGTGTTCTACGCTCTCAAGGAGAGACTCAACAAAGATGAGGACCAGCGAGTCCGATACGAGAGTGCCAAATCTCTCATCCTCATTGGTGGGTACAAGCAAGCAATGTTCAGATCAGCTAGCAAAGGTTTTGTTACTTCTCTGATAATATCTGTGACCGAACAACATCAATACAGAAGAAAGGTAACATTGTGGTCATATACACAGGAACAATAATACGTAAATAATCGTGATATGTTTAAATTGGTCAAATTCCACTAACCTACCCTTTTTGCTCTAGCAATCCGCATACTGTATCTATACACCTACCAACCTTCCAACCTACCCACCTACCCACCTACCCAACCCCTCACTCTCTAGTTTGTTGTATATCCACAGGCTGCAGGTGCTCTTCAAGTATATCTTCCCACTAACCCACCTTCCCATGTATCCACATAGCCTCCCTCCTTCCCTCTCACTCTTGTTGCCTGCTATCTTCCCACTGACCCACCTTCCCATGTATCCACATAGCCTCCCTCCTTCCCTCTCACTCTTGTTGCCTGCTATCTTCCCACTAACCCACCTTCCCATGTATCCACATAGCCTACCCTCCTTCCCTCTCACTCTTGTTGCCTGCTATCTTCCCACTAACCCACCTTCCCATGTATCCACATAGCCTCCTCCTTCCCTCTCACTCTTGTTACCTGCTATCTTCCCACTAACCCACCTTCCCATGTATCCACATAGCCTCCCTCCTTCCCTCTCACTCTTGTTACCTGCTATCTTCCCACTAACCCACCTTCCCATGTATCCACATAGCCTCCTCCTCACCCTTTGCCCCTCCTCTCACCCTTTGTTACCTGCATCTTCTCACTAACCCACTCTTTTGTATCCACATAGCCTCCCTCCTTCCCTCTCACTCTTGTTACCTGCTATCTTCCCACCTTCCCATCTATCCAACCCACCTTCCCATGCATCCACATAGCCTCCCTCCCCTTCCTCTCACCTGCCACCTTGTTACCTGCCTATCTCTTCCCACTAACCCACCTTCCCATGTATCCACATAGCCACCCTCCTCCTTCCCTCTCACCCTTGTTACCTGCTATATCTTCCCACTAACCCACCTTCCCATGTATCCACATAGCCTCCCTCCTTCCCTCTCACTCTTGTTGCCTGCTATCTTCCCACTGACCCACATTCCCATGTATCCACATAGCCTCCCTCCTTCCCTCTCACTCTTGTTACCTGCTATCTTCCCACTAACCCACCTTCCCATGTATCCACATAGCCTCCCTCCTTCCCTCTCACTCTTGTTACCTGCTATCTTCCCACTAACCCACCTTCCCATGTATCCACATAGCCACCCTCCTTCCCTCTCACCTTTGTTGCCTAAGCATCTCCTCCCACTGACCCACCTTCCCATGTATCCACATAGCCACCCTCCTTCCCTCTCACTCTTTCTTTGCCACCTGCTATCTTCCCACTAACCCACCCTCCCATGTATCCACATAGCCACCCTCCTTCCCCCCTCACCCTTGTTACCTGCTATCTTCCCACTTAACCCACCTCCTCCCATGCATCCACATAGCCACCCTCCTTCCCCTCTCACCCTTGTTATCCCTGTTATCTTCCTGCACTAACCCCACCTTCCCATGTATCCACATAGCCTCCCTCCTTCCCTTTCTCTCACTCCCTTGTGTTACCTGCCATCTCTCCCACTAACCCACCTTCCCATGTATCCACATAGCCACCCTCCTTCCCTCTCACACTTGTTACTCCTGCTATCTTCCCACTCACCCACCTTCCCATGTATCCACATAGCCACCCTCCTTCCCTCTCACCTTTGTTACCTGCTATCTCTCCCACTTAACCCACCTTCCCATGTATCCACATAGCCTCCCTCCCTTCCCTCCTGCCATCTTCCCACCAACCCACCTTCTGCATCCATCAGCCCCTCCTCCTCTCACCCTTGCCACCTGTTCTTCTCCCCGCACTAACCCACCTTCCCCATGTATCCATCGTGAAATCTCCTTCCCCACCCTTTGTTACCTAAGACCTTCTCCCACCAACCCACCTTCTGTATCCACATAGCCCTCCTTCCTCTCTCACCCCTTTGTTACCGCTACATCTTCCTGCACTCCACCCACATTCCCATGCATCCACATAGCCTCCCTACTTCGCCTCTCCACCCTTGTCTGACTATCTTCCCACTAACCCACCTCCCACGAGGTCCAGCCAGATCTTCCGACTTGATCCCACCTTGCCATCTCCATAGTTTCGACGGAAGATTTCGACAACCCACCTTCCGAGATCCACGTTCCTCCTTCCACCGTGATGACGGTATCTGTTTCTTCGATCTACCCCGACTTTTCCAGACGAAAGATAGTTTCCGACTTCACCTGAAAATTATGATCTTCGACTTCCGACGCCGGAGACCGATGAAGACCATCCTTTATCTTTAGCATTTGCGATTTTCCGACGACCGACTTCGACTTCGATTGATACCGATCTTTAGACTTTAGTGACGATTTTCCGACGACGACCTTTTCCCCTATCTGAAGATTCGAAACTTCTTCGACGACCGACGCCGATATCCGACAGATCCTTCTTTACTTCGAAGATTTTGCGATCCTTCATTTGATCTACTTCCGGATATCTTTACGGAAGCGACGAGATTTTCCGACGACCCCGACGCCTTATATTCTTCTTCATTTTGACGATTTTCCGACGACCGACTTTCCGAGATATTTCTTTTATCTTTGACGAGGTCTTTCGACGACGTTACCGGTATTGACCATAGTTCCTTACTTTATCGATTTGATTTTTCCCGACGACCGACGCCCGATATCCATCTTTATCGATGACGAAAGATCGATTGATCGACGCCCGACGATATGACCTTTAATTTCGAAGATTTATGATCTTCGACGACCGACGCCTGATATATCTTTGAAGATTTGATTTCCTCGACGACCGACCCGAGAACGATGACCTGACTTTATTTGATCTTCCGACGATCGACTTCGATATCTTATCTTTAATTGAAGATTTATCTCGACGACCGACGCCCCGATGAACGATATAATCTTCTTTAATTTGAAGATTTATGACTTCCGACGACCGACCGAGATCCATATGACCTTTCGACGATTTTATGATCTTCGACGGACGACTTCCGGATATCCATACACGACGGATTTGAAAGATCTTCGACGACCGACCTTATATCCAGATAAGCATGACTTTATTTTATCTTCCGACGACCGGACTTCCTTGTGGAACGATGAAGCATCTTCCTCGACATTTGAAATACGAGATCGACGACCGACGCCCGATAACGACGGAAGATTTGCCTTTTCCGACGACGAATTTCCGGTATCATTTAATCCACTTCCGATATCTAATAGCCGAAGACTTTGATCGTCGACGACGCCCTTCGATAGATCCAAGATAGCATCTTCTTTATTTTGAAGCATTTTCGTCGACCTTGATCGACTTTTTCACTTTGAGACGATTAATTTTAATCACGACATTCCATTCTCGACGATATTTCATCGACATTTTTCCCCGGCATTACGAGATGAAGCATCTTCTACTTTGAAGTATCGAGACGCCTGATTGATCGACGATATTTAATTTTTCTTTACTTCGAAGTATCGGTGATTTTCGACGACCGACGCCGAGAACGAGAATTTCCTTCTTTACTTCGAAAGCATTTGTTTATCTTCCTCGACGACCGACGCCCGAGAACGAAGACTCTTCACCTGAGCAGACGAGATTTCCGAACGACCGACGCCCGATGGAGCGGATGCATCTTTCCGAGACGCCGACGACCGACGCCGAGCATCTTTCCGACGACCGACGCCTATATCCATAGCGACCTTCTTCTTTATATCTTTAAGACGGAGATTTGTCGACGTGATCGACTTTTCCGAGATCTATAAGCATCTTCTTAATTTTGAAGATTTGAAAGATTTTCCGACGACCGACTTTCCGATGACCGACAGCATCCTTTACTTTGAAGACGACGACCGACGCCCGAGGAACGAGAAGTTTTCTTTAATTTCGAAAGATTTATGACGCCGACGACCGACTTCCCGGATTGCATACCATTAGATCCTTCTTTCGACGACGACTTATAATCTATCTTTACGGATTTAACCGACGCCCGATGACGATGCCGAGGACGAGAGCATTTTTCTTTACGGAAGCATTTAGAAAGATTTCCGATTGACCCCGACTTCGAGACCATTGAAGTTTTCTTCTTTAATTTCGAAGACGAGATTTTCCTCCCCACTTACCCACCTTCCCATGTATCCCACATAGCCACCCTCCTTCCCTCTCACCCTTGTTACCTGCTATCTTCCCACTAACCCACCTTCCCATGTATCCACATAGCCTCCCTCCTTCCCTCTCACTCTTGTTACCTGCTATCTTCCCACTAACCCACCTTCCCATGTATCCACATAGCCACCCTCCTTCCCTCTCACTCTTGTTACCTGCTATCTTCCCACTAACCCACCTTCCCATGTATCCACATAGCCACCCTCCTTCCCTCTCACCCTTGTTACATGTCCACAGGCTGCTGGGAGGATGAGATTCTGCAGGTGCTCCTCAAGTACCTGGCTATTGGCAACACTGAAATCCGACAGGACCTGATTAGGACCATGATCAATGGCAAAAATGTGCAGTACGTTGACAAGGTGAGCTGTCTATCCCTGGGAGCTGGTCCTGACACCAGACAGACATATGCTGTATACTGTAGTTCCATGGCAGTGTGCAGGTCACGGAGCAGTGGTTACACCCGTACATGATGTATGGTGAGTTGTTGATGATGTCATAGTGACAGAGTGATTATTGCTTGATGCCACATCAGCAGGTGTGAAAGTATTTACAGCGATGTTCTAGATAAACGTTAGCTGGTGTGTGACATATCAAAGCTGTAACATGGCAAACATTTAGTCCTCATATCTGGTTCAATCATGGTAGCCATTGTGTCATGGGACCAATAACAGCCATACTCTCCCATCAGTCCTAAAGGCTGTGCAAGCCAGCTACAACAAGGAATGTTTTTGTCAAGTGTGTATGTCCTTTCCGAGTGACCCACTGTGTGTTGGACAATGCCAACAGTAACCCCCAGTTGACCATGTCCTTTCCGAGTGACCCACTGTGTGTTGGACAATGCCAACAGTAACCCCCAGTTGACCATGTCCTTTCCGAGTGACCCACTGTGTGTTGGACAATGCCAACAGTAACCCCCAGTTGACCACAGTGATGGAGGATGCTGTTCCTCTGTAACCCCCAGTTGACCACAGTGATGGAGGATGCTGTTCCTCTGTTCCAGAACATGCCAACCTTCCCTGAACTGGTGAAAATCTTGAGCCACTTCTGTCGGAACCCTGATCCTGAGGATCCTATATCATTTGAGGCGGCCGTGCTGCTGGGACGCCTTTGTGTGGCTGATGCCAACGGCAAGGAGAAGTTGAAGAAGGCTCTCACCGAGTCCACAGATTCCCACATCAAGTCCAAGGTCTGCCTACCGTCTATCTAGAGTGCATGTTGTATGTTGGCCTGTCCCACCGTGTCCACCAAGTTTTTTTATGCATATCAATCCTGTCCTGAAATAGAGGATATCCTGATATCATCTATGTCCTCACATATGTCCTCTTGTCCAGGAGAACAGTGTCCTCTGTATTCATCAATGCCCTCCTGTCCTACAGTATGTTTCTTTATGCAGCAATGTTCCAGCAATATCATGGCGGAGGACCCCAGAATTGGGGTTCACACATTGTACCCGTGCGGGGAATCGTCAGCATGACAAGCGGACGCTATAATCATTATGTTACCTCACCGCTCTTCCTGTAGAGGAGAATCTACAGCTTTGTCCTCTTGTCTTGCAGGCAGTGGAGGACAGTGTCCTCTGTGTTTATGTATGTCCTCATGTATGTCCTCTTGTCTTGCAGGCAGTGGAGATCCTGGTGAAGCAGCTGAACTGCACTGACAGCAGCGTCATTACCAGCGTACAGGACATCCTTGCAACATCCACTGTTTGGAAGCATCGCGAACTTGCAGCCAAACTCCTCATCTCCCTCGGTGGGTGAAGGACATGTCCTAGATGGATGGTTGTAAGGGGATGCCTGAGTGACAGGTTTATAGTGTGAGCTATGGGTGTAGGACATGTCCTAGATGGATGGTTGCAAGGGGATGCATTAGTGACAGGTTAATAGTGTGAGCTATGGGTGTAGGACATGTCCTAGATGGATGGTTGCAAGGGGATGCATTAGTGACAGGTTTATAGTGTGAGCTATGGGTGTAGGACATGTCCTAGATGGATGGTTGTAAGGGGATGCATTAGTGACAGGTGTATAGTGTGAGCTATGGGTGAAGGACATGTCCTAGATGGATGGTTGTAAGGGGATGCCTGAGTGACAGGTTTATAGTGTGAGCTATGGGTGTAGGACATGTCCTAGATGGATGGTTGCAAGGGGATGCATTAGTGACAGGTTAATAGTGTGAGCTATGGGTGTAGGACATGTCCTAGATGGATGGTTGCAAGGGGATGCATTAGTGACAGGTTTATAGTGTGAGCTATGGGTGTAGGACATGTCCTAGATGGATGGTTGTAAGGGGATGCATTAGTGACAGGTGTATAGTGTGAGCTATGGGTGTAGGACATGTCCTAGATGGATGGTTGTAAGGGGATGCATTAGTGATAGCTTTATAGTGTGAGCTATGGGTGTAGGACATGTCCTAGATGGATGGTTGCAAGGGGATGCATTAGTGATAACTTTATAGTGTGAGCTATGGGTGTAGGACATGTCTTAGATGGATGGTTGCAAGGGGATGCATTAGTGACAGGTTTATAGTGTGAGCTATGGGTGTAGGACATGTCCTAGATGGATGGTTGTAAGGGGATGCATTAGTGATAGCTTTATAGTGTGAGCTATGGGTGTAGGACATGTCCTAGATGGATGGTTGTAAGGGGATGCCATTGAGTGACAGGTTTATAGTGTGAGCTATGGGTGTAGGACATGTCCTAGATGGATGGTTGCAAGGGGATGCATTAGTGACAGGTTAATAGTGTGAGCTATGGGTGTAGGACATGTCCTAGATGGATGGTTGCAAGGGGATGCATTAGTGACAGGTTTATAGTGTGAGCTATGGGTGTAGGACATGTCCTAGATGGATGGTTGTAAGGGGATGCATTAGTGATAGCTTTATAGTGTGAGCTATGGGTGTAGGACATGTCCTAGATGGATGGTTGCAAGGGGATGCATTAGTGATAGCTTTATAGTGTGAGCTATGGGTGTAGGACATGTCTTAGATGGATGGTTGCAAGGGGATGCATTAGTGACAGGTTTATAGTGTGAAGAGCTATGGGTGTAGGACATGTCCTAGATGGATGGTTGTAAAGGGGATGCATTAGTGACAGGTTTATAGTGTGAGCTATGGGTGTAGGACATGTCCTAGATGGATGGTTGCAAGGGGATGCATTAGTGATAGCTTTATAGTGTGAGCTATGGGTGTAGGACATGTCCTAGATGGATGGTTGCAAGGGGATGCATTAGTGACAGGTTTATAGTGTGAGCTATGGGTGTAGGACATGTCCTAGATGGATGGTTGCAAGGGGATGCATTAGTGATAGCTTTATAGTGTGAGCTATGGGTGTAGGACATGTCCTAGATGGATGGTTGTAAGGGGATGCATTAGTGACAGGTTTATAGTGTGAGCTATGGGTGTAGGACATGTCCTAGATGGATGGTTGCAAGGGGATGCATTAGTGATAGCTTTATAGTGTGAGCTATTGGTGTAGGACATGTCCTAGATGGATGGTTGCAAGGGGATGCATTAGTGATAGCTTTATAGTGTGAGCTATGGGTGTAGGACATGTCCTAGATGGATGGTTGCAAGGGGATGCATTAGTGACAGGTTTATAGTGTGAGCTATGGGTGTAGGACATGTCCTAGATGGATGGTTGTAAGGGGATGCATTAGTGATAGGTTTATAGTGTGAGCTATGGGTGTAGGACATGTCCTAGATGGATGGTTGTAAGGGGATGCATTAGTGACAGGTGTATAGTGTGAGCTATGGGTGTAGGACATGTCCTAGATGGATGGTTGCAAGGGGATGCATTAGTGATAGCTTTATAGTGTGAGCTGTTGGTGTAGGACATGTCCTAGATGGATGGTTGCAAGGGGATGCATTAGTGATAGCTTTATAGTGTGAGCTATGGGTGTAGGACATGTCCTAGATGGATGGTTGCAAGGGGATGCATTAGTGACAGGTTTATAGTGTGAGCTATGGGTGTAGGACATGTCCTAGATGGATGGTTGCAAGGGGATGCATTAGTGATAGCTTTATAGTGTGAGCTATGGGTGTAGGACATGTCCTAGATGGATGGTTGTAAGGGGATGCATTAGTGACAGGTTTATAGTGTGAGCTATGGGTGTAGGACATGTCCTAGATGGATGGTTGTAAGGGGATGCATTAGTGATAGCTTTATAGTGTGAGCTATGGGTGTAGGACATGTCCTAGATGGATGGTTGTAAGGGGATGCATTAGTGATAGCTTTATAGTGTGAGCTATGGGTGTAGGACATGTCCTAGATGGATGGTTGCAAGGGGATGCATTAGTGACAGGTTTATAGTGTGAGCTATGGGTGTAGGACATGTCCTAGATGGATGGTTGCAAGGGGATGCATTAGTGACAGGTTTATAGTGTGAGCTATGGGTGTAGGACATGTCCTAGATGGATGGTTGTAAGGGGATGCATTAGTGATAGCTTTATAGTGTGAGCTATGGGTGTAGGACATGTCCTAGATGGATGGTTGTAAGGGGATGCATTAGTGACAGGTTTATAGTGTGAGCTATGGGTGGAGGACATGTCCTAGATGGATGGTTGCAAGGGGATGCATTAGTGATAGCTTTATAGTGTGAGCTATGGGTGTAGGACATGTCCTAGATGGATGGTTGCAAGGGGATGCATTAGTGATAGCTTTATAGTGTGAGCTATTGGTGTAGGACATGTCCTAGATGGATGGTTGTAAGGGGATGCATTAGTGACAGGTTTATAGTGTGAGCTATGGGTGTAGGACATGTCCTAGATGGATGGTTGTAAGGGATGCATTAGTGACAGGTGTATAGTGAGCTATGGGTGTAGGACATGTCCTAGATGGATGGTTGTAAGGGGATGCCATTAGTGATAGCTTTATAGTGTGAGCTATGGGTGTAGGACATGTCCTAGATGGATGGTTGTAAGGGGATGCATTAGTGACAGGTTTATAGTGTGAGGCTATGGGTGTAGGACATGTCCTAGATGGATGGTTGCAAGGGATGCATTAGTGATAGCTTTATAGTGTGAGCTATTGGTGTAGGACATGTCCTAGATGGATGGTTGTAAGGGGATGCATTAGTGATAGCTTTATAGTGTGAGCTATGGGTGTAGGACATGTCCTAGATGGATGGTTGCAAGGGGATGCATTAGTGATAGGTTTATAGTGTGAGCTATGGGTGTAGGACATGTCCTAGATGGATGGTTGTAAGGGGATGCATTAGTGACAGGTGTATAGTGTGAGCTATGGGTGTAGGACATGTCCTAGATGGATGGTTGTAAGGAGTAGTACAGGTAATCCCCCTCATCAAACCCTTTTGCCCCATTCCGCTCCCAGCCCCCCATTAAAATATCGTAGCCCATAAGCAGGAACTGCGTCTGATGTCCCCGCTGGTATTAAATGTTGAAGCCTTTAATAATGGATAAAATTTACTACAAAAATTAGCAAAATGTTCTCGGTGAGCTCCAATCACATGGGGAGAAATATTTTGTTCCTCTCTCAGAGAGTGCCCCTGTTCTTCTGACCTGATACCTAACTATGATAGTGTTCCGAAAGTGCTAGGTATCTTTAGAGGTATGTTGGGGTTTGAACTCATGATGTAGAGCTGCGCCTCAGCCACCACAGTTATCTAGCCTGAGCAAACGAGGCTCTGACAGCACCAGCGTCCGTTTTACGGGTCTATCTTGACCTTGCATAAATTAATGTCTGAAGGTTTCCTTGAGCCAATCAGGTGCTACGTATTGAGCCAATCAGGTGCTACGTATTGAGCCAATCAGGTGCTACATATTGAGCCAATCAGGTGCTACCTATTGAGCCAATCAGGTGCTACGTATTGAGCCAATCAGGTGCTACGTATTGAGCCAATCAGGTGCTACGTATTGAGCCAATCAGGTGCTACGTATTGAGCCAATCAGGTGCTACGTATTGAGCAGCCAATCAGGGTGCTACGTATTGAGCAGCCAATCAGGTGCTACATTGATTGAGCCAATCAGGTGCTACGCATTGAGCAGCCAATCAGGTGCCGCCAATCAGCAGCCGATGAGCCAATCAGGTGCTACGTATTGAGCCAATCAGGTGCTACGTATTGAGCCAATCAGGTGCTACATATTGAGCCAATCAGGTGCTACGTATTGAGCAGCCAATCAGGTGCTACATATTGAGCAGCTCGGCAACGTTCATAATCCTTAGTGCGAACACTACACCGCCGTAGTGATGAAAGGGTTTGATGAGGGGGATTGCGGCTGAAACCCCATTGCCAATATCCCGGTGACAGGGGTTTTCGACGATGTAAGACAAAAACGTTACTTTTATCTGTAATATCATTTGAAGTTTATATTTTACTAGCCTTGAGTGATAAAGGATATATTAATCTATTTCACACAAAAATGTCAAGTGTTTCCTACAAAAATAGCATTGATGACATCGTATCGGCGAAACTGTTGCCGCCCTCCACATCCAGGTATTTTGTATGGGTTTTCGACGATGAGCCATACTTTTCGCTCTGCACTGCGAGGGAGTGTTGTGATCATGTGGCTGCCTATTTAGATATTGCCTGTCACTAGCAAACGACTGATCTTACTGAATTTTTACTTGCTATTTTTTGTTATAAATGCAATTGATTTTGCATCTGAAGTGGTATTAACGATCTCGGGTAAATAATATTGATGTTTGTTTGCTATTTATACAACTTAACTTCCGGATTTTAATTGTCAATAAAACTTCTCACGATAGTGACTGGGCATCTGCCCTGCCGATGAAATAGGGTATGCTCTCCGATCGTGCACATACTCCCCCGCTATAGCGCGAGCAATGCAATCAGCGAAATCACCAGAACGTCAAATTCAGCTCGCTTAGGGATACTATTTAAGGGCATGCATTAGGGACAGGGTTATAGTACAAGAGATGGATACATGATAGGGTCAACTTATCTAGTGTCATGTGAAACATATCTACAAACTTTCTCTTTAGTATCTGAACATTTTTTTGTAAATGACAAAGAGACAAAAGAACTTGTTTTGTCATCACACAATTGAAATCACTTACAGTTTCTGTCAGAAAACAACCGTCAGAGTAGTTTGTAAACTGATCCTTTCTCTCCTCCATGGTACAGGCCCGGGCCATCCATGTGTGACGGACGACTATGAGGAGATCTACCTGCTGCTGGGCGACGCCTGTGGGATGACCCCAGTCAGGTAGGTAACTCTTGTACAAAACTACATACTGAGTCTCAGAACTGTTTACTACACATAGCACAACACAGTGTGTGTTGTACTGAAGGACAGTTGTGTACTGTTTACTACACACAGCACAACACTGTGTGTGGTGTATTGAAGGACAGTTGAGTAGTGTTTACTACACACAGCACAACACTGTGTGTTGTATTGAAGGACAGTTGTGTACTGTTTACTACACATAGCACAACACAGTGTGTGTTGTACTGAAGGACAGTTGTGTACTGTTTACTACACATAGCACAACACTGTGTGTGGTGTACTGAAGGACAGTTGAGTAGTGTTTACTACACATAGCACAACACTGTGTGTGTTGTACTGAAGGACAGTTGTGTACTGTTTACTACACATAGCACAACACTGTGTGTGGTGTATTGAAGGACAGTTGAGTAGTGTTTACTACACACAGCACAACACTGTGTGTTGTATTGAAGGACAGTTGTGTACTGTTTACTACACATAGCACAACACTGTGTGTTGTATTGAAGGACAGTTGTGTACTGTTTACTACACACAGCACAACACTGTGTGTTGTATTGAAGGACAGTTGTGTACTGTTTACTACACACAGCACAACACTGTGTGTGGTGTATTGAAGGACAGTTGTGTACTGTTTACTACACATAGCACAACACAGTGTGTGTTGTACTGAAGGACAGTTGTGTACTGTTTACTACACATAGCACAACACAGTGTGTTGTATTGAAGGACAGTTATGTACTGTTTACTACACATAGCACAACACAGTGTGTGGTGTACTGAAGGACAGTTGTGTACTGTTTACTACACATAGCACAACACTGTGTGTGTTGTACTGAAGGACAGTTGTGTACTGTTTACTACACATAGCACAACACTGTGTGTTGTATTGAAGGACAGTTATGTATTGTTTACTACACATAGCACAACACAGTGTGTGGTGTATTGAAGGACAGTTGTGTACTGTTTACTACACATAGCACAACACTGTGTGTGTGTGTACTGTACTGAAGGACAGTTGTGTACTGTTTACTTTAGCTACACATAGCACAACACTGTGTGTGTTGTACTGAAGGACAGTGAAGGTGTACTGTTTACTACACATACAGCACAACACTGTGTGTTGTATTGAAGGACAGTTATGTATTGTTTACTACACACAGCACAACAGTGTGTGTTGTATTGAAGGACAGTTGTGTACTGTTTACTACACACAGCACAACACAGTGTGTGGTGTATTGAAGGACAGTTGTGTACTGTTTACTACACATAGCACAACACTGTGTGTGTTGTACTGAAGGACAGTTGTGTACTGTTTACTACACATAGCACAACACTGTGTGTGTTGTATTGAAGGACAGTTGTGTACTGTTTACTACACACATAGCACAACACAGTGTGTTGTATTGAAGGACAGTTGTGTACTGTTTACTACACACAGCACAACACAGTGTGTGTTGTATTGAAGGACAGTTGTGTACTGTTTACTACACACAGCACAACACTGTGTGTTGTATTGAAGGACAGTTGTGTACTGTTTACTACACACAGCACAACACAGTGTGTGTTGTATTGAAGGACAGTTGTGTACTGTTTACTACACACAGCACAACACTGTGTGTGGTGTATTGAAGGACAGTTGTGTACTGTTTACTACACATAGCACAACACTGTGTGTTGTATTGAAGGACAGTTATGTATTGTTTACTACACATAGCACAACACAGTGTGTGGTGTATTGAAGGACAGTTGTGTACTGTTTACTACACATAGCACAACACTGTGTGTGGTGTATTGAAGGACAGTTGTGTACTGTTTACTACACATAGCACAACACTGTGTGTGGTGTATTGAAGGACAGTTGTGTACTGTTTACTACACATAGCACAACACTGTGTGTGGTGTATTGAAGGACAGTTGTGTACTGTTTACTACACATAGCACAACACTGTGTGTGGTGTACTGAAGGACAGTTGTGTACTGTTTACTACACATAGCACAACACTGTGTGTTGTACTGAAGGACAGTTGTGTACTGTTTACTACACATAGCACAACACAGTGTGTGTTGTATTGAAGGACAGTTGTGTACTGTTTACTACACATAGCACAACACAGTGTGTGTTGTACTGAAGGACAGTTGTGTACTGTTTACTACACACAGCACAACACAGTGTGTGTTGTATTGAAGGACAGTTATGTATTGTTTTACTACTAGCTACAACACAGTGTGTGTTGTGTACTGAAGGACAGTTGTGTACTGTTTACTACACACATAGCACAACACAGTGTGTTGTATTGAAGGACAGTTGTGTATTGTTTACTACACACAGCACAACACAGTGTGTTGTATTGAAGGACAGTTGTGTACTGTTTACTACACATAGCACAACACTGTGTGTGTTGTACTGAAGGACAGTTGTGTACTGTTTACTACACAGCACAACACAGTGTGTGTTGTATTGAAGGACAGTTGTGTACTGTTTACTACACATAGCACAACACTGTGTGTGGTGTATTGAAGGACAGTTGTGTACCGTTTACTACACATAGTTTATCAGTTTGTTGCATGAAGGCCAGAGGCCCATATACAGAATAAATATGTATGATATGTACAACATATACAACATGCGACACACACGTTACATTGAATCTCTTCTCAATATAAGCGCGTGATAAATAAATAGAGCTACCTTATATTGTAATATGGATGCTTTACATGAAAGTATTGAATACAGTTTTGTAGCATTAATATTTGATTGTAGCCATTATGGAAAATACAGTTGCCTTAAATCATTATATGCAGGACAAAGAAATAGAAAGTGTAATTCATTCTCTACAGTATTACAAAATGGACAGAACCTTTGTGATTTTATAATAGATGAATATCTTCCTTGATTGATATATAAATCATTTAGGCCAAGTCTCAGGCGCATGAAAACATTACGAAGCTTTTTACTACGTAAGTTGTGTAGATACGACTCAGGTTCAAGTAAAGATTTAAACTCACGATAACAATCATATCTTGAACTTTCATATAAAGATGAATGCCAGTCTTGTTTAAAGATATCAATAGCCCTGGTACGAAAGAGTTTGATAAATCCATTAACGTCGGCCAGGGTTTGGGATAGCCAAACAAATCCAAAGCTGTATCTAACAAAAGAATACGAATACACATAGCACAACACAGTGTGTGTTGTACTGAAGGACAGTTGTGTATTGTTTACTACACATAGCACAACACAGTGTGTGTTGTATTGAAGGACAGTTGTGTACTGTTTACTACACACACCACAACACAGTGTGTGTTGTATTGAAGGACAGTTGTGTACTGTTTACTACACAGCACAACACTGTGTGTTGTACTGAAGGACAGTTGTGTACTGTTTACTACATACAGCACAACACAGTGTGTGTTGTACTGAAGGACAGTTGTGTACTGTTTACTACACATAGCACAACACAGTGTGTGTTGTACTGAAGGACAGTTGTGTATTGTTTACTACACATATCACCACGGAGTGTGTGTTGTACTGAAGGACAGTTGTGTACTGTTTACTATTCTAAGCAGTTGTGTACAGGTCATATCTCTGTGTTGTAGGAGGTGCGTACAGCAGCGGCCAAGGCGTTGACTGCGTTACGGATGTTTGCCCGTGCATGTGAGGCGATCGAGAAGTAAGTGCAGCAACAAATAAGCTACAAAAAGTTTTACTCTGTAGTGGGAATTTCCTTCAAGTAATTGTATAGACACTTGTTTTGGTTAGTACATGTTTTTGTTTACATGTCTGTTTGTTGACTGAGACACAATTGTTCACTGGGTGTATGTCATACCTCATCTCTCTGGATAATTTTGTTAGTTCACGATATAATACTGTAATCAGTATACAGTAATCAGTTCACAATATAATACTGTGTTCACTATACACTATTACAGTAATCAGTTCATGATATAAATAATACTGTGTTCAGTATAATAATACATGATATGTGTTCATGATATAATACTGTGTTCAGTATACAGTAATCATGATATAATACTGTGTTCAGTATACAGTAATCATGATATAATACTGTGTTCAGTATACAGTAATCATGATATAATACTGTGTTTAGTATACAGTAATCACTTCATGATACAATACTGTGTTCAGTATACAGTAATCAGTTGTTTATCACATGTATATGAAACATGTCATTTTCTTATAAAACACAACTTTCTCTTAACAACAATAACCCAAAATATCAATATTGATAATGACTGTGTGAAGCAACACACCCCTCTATGGAGCGAGTAAACACTGTCAACAATGCCTGAAGACGTAATCCAACGCTGTCGTCCTGTCTTCATGTAATCTGGTCAGCAAGTTATGACTTATGTACACTAAACATGCCTTCGTTCCTACTTCTGTGACAAAGAAATATTACAATATCCACCTCTGAAGTGATTCTGCTTCTTTTACCCAACCTGAGTATGCATGCACTACAACCTACAAAATATTCATGAGGTACTGCATTGCTCATATATACACATCATGATAGGATTTCCTTCTTGTAGACAGTCAGCAATGCCCACACACCAAACATTCAGCCAGTCAGGTAACACAACCTCAAAACCTCCCCAACATCGGCGTTCTGACATGTTGTAAACATGACACAAATGGCTGTTGTTATTAAACTATGTAATATCCACTTTTCATAACCTTGTTATCCTACAAAACTTAACCCAGAATGATGACAATACCATATACATGTACTTACTATTAACCCAGAATGATGACAATACCATATACATGTACTTACTATTAACCCAGAATGATGACAATACCATATACATGTACTTACTATTAACCCAGAATGATGACAATACCATATACATGTACTTACTATTAACCCAGAATGATGACAATACCATATACATGTACTTACTATTAACCCAGAATGATGACAATACCATATACATGTACTTACTATTAACCCAGAATGATGACAATACCATATACTTACTAATAACCCAGAATGATGACAATACCATATACATGTACTTACTAATAACCCAGAATGATGACAATACCATATACTTACAATAATAACCCAGAATGATGACAATACCATATACATGTACTTACTATTAACCCAGAATGATGACAATACCATATACTTACTAATAACCCAGAATGATGACAATACCATATACATGTACTTACTAATAACCCAGAATGATGACAATACCATATACATGTACTTACTATTAACCCAGAATGATGACAATACCATATACATGTACTTACTAATAACCCAGAATGATGACAATACCATATACATGTACTTACTATTATTAACCAGAATGATGACAATACCATATACATGTACTTACTAATACAGAATGATGACAATACCATATACATGTACTTACTATTAACCCAGAATGATGACAATACCATATACATGTGACTTACTATTAACCCAGAATGATGACAATACCATATACATGTACTTACTATTAACCCAGAATGATGACAATACCATATACATGTACTTACTAATAACCCAGAATGTATGACTATTAATATGATGACAATACATGTACTCCTACTATTAACCCAGAATGATGACAATACCATATACATGTACTTACTATTAACCCAGAATGATGACAATACCATATACACTTACTACTAATAACCCAGAATGATGACAATACCATATATGTACTTACTAATAACCCAGAATGATGACAATACCATATACATGTACTTACTATTAACCCAGAATGATGACAATACCATATACATGTACTTACTATTAACCCAGAATGATGACAATACCATACATGTACTTACTAATAACCCAGAATGATGACAATACCATATACTTACTAATAACCCAGAATGATGACAATACCATATACTTACTAATAACCCAGAATGATGACAATACCATATACATGTACTTACTATTAACCCAGAATGATGACAATACCATATACTTACTAATAATAACCCAGAATGATGACAATACCATATACTTACTAATAACCCAGAATGATGACAATACCATATACTTACTATTAACCCAGAATGATGACAATCTCCCTCAACTCACCCGCCTGGTGTAAGTACACATGCTCCTCACTCACCTCCTGGTGAGTACATGCTCTGCCCTCCTCACTACACTTCCAGGTGAATACACTCTGCTTCACTCACCTCCAGGGTGAATACTCTCTCCCCTCACCTCCACTCTCCCAGTGAGTACATGCTCTCCCCTCACTCACTCTTCATGAATACACTCTCCCTAACTCATACTTGATGAGTACACACTCACCTCCACTCTCTTGGTGAGTACACACCCCTTCACCCACTCTCCTGAGTACACGCCTCCCTCACTCACTTCTCCAGATGAATACACTGTACCTCACCCACTCTCCAGGTGAATACACCCCCACCCTCACCACTCTGCTGGTGAATAACCTCTCCCTCACTCGCCCTACTGGTGAGTACATGCCTCCTCACCACGCTCCCAGGTGAATACACTCTACTTCACTCACTCTCCAGGTGCATACTTTCTCTCCCTCACTCACTCTCCCTGTGAGTACATGCTCCCCTTGAGTACACAGGGCAGGGAGGACATGCTCCTTCAATCACTCTCCTAGTGAGTACACACTCCCTCACTCACTCTCCTAGTGAGTAAAAAAGCGTCTGCTCCTCATGCTGAAGGCCTGGATTCGATTCCCCACATGGGTACAATGAGTGAAGCCCATTTCTGGTGTCCCCTGCCTTGATATTGCTGGAATAGTGCTAAAAGTGGTGTAAAACCATACTCACTCACTCTCCAGGTAAATACCCTCTCACTCACTCAATCTCCAGGTGAATACACTCTCCCTCACTCACTCTCCTGGTGAATACACTCCACCTCACTCACTCTCCTGGTGAATACACTCTACCTCACCCACTCTCCAGGTGAATATGCTTTACCTCACTCACTCTCCTGGTGAGTACATGCTCCCTCACTCACTCTCCTGGTGAAGTACACTCTCCCTCACTCACTCTCCTGGTGAGTACATGCTCCCTCACTCACCCGCCTGGTAAGTACATGCTCCCTCACTCACTCTCCTGGTGAGTACATGCCTCCTCACTCACGCTCCAGGTGAATACACTCTACTTCACTCACTCTCCAGGTGAATACTCTCTCCCTCACTCACTCTCCTGGTGAGTACATGCTCCCTCACTCACTCTTCATGTGAATACACTCTCCCTAACTCATACTTCTGATGAGTACACACTCACTCACTCACTCTCTTGGTGAGTACACACTCCTTCACCCACTCTCCTGAGTACACGCTCCCTCACTCACTCTCCAGATGAATACACTGTACCTCACCCACTCTCCAGGTGAATACACTCTACCTCACTCACTCTGCTGGTGAATAAATCTCTCCCTCACTCGCTCTACTGGTGAGTACATGCCTCCTCACTCACGCTCCAGGTGAATACACTCTACTTCACTCACTCTCCAGGTGAATACTCTCTCCCTCACTCACTCTCCTGGTGAGTACATGCTCCCTCACTCACTCTTGAGTACACACTCCCCACCTGTCCAGTGAGTACATGCTACACACTCCTCTACATGTGAATACACTCACTCACTCACTCTCCTCATTAGAATACACACTCCCTCACTCACTCTCCTCATTAGTACACTCTACCTCACTCACTTTCCTGGTGAGCACACACTTTCTCACTCACTCTCCTGTTGATTACATGCTCCCTCACTCACTATCCATGTGAATACACACACCCTCACTCACTCACCTGGTGAATACTCTCACCCTCCTCTCACTCATCTCACCCCTCACTCAGTCTCCTGTTGAGTACACACTCCCTACTCACTCTCTCCTCAGTACAGTCTCACTCTCTCCTTGAGTACACACTCCCTCACTCACTCTCCTGGAGAGCACACACTCCCCTCAGGTACACACTCCTCTCACTCACTCTAATGAGTACACACCCTCCCTCACTCACTCTCCTGTTGAGTAAACACCCCTCACTCACTCATACTCTCTGATGAGTACACACTCCCCACCACCTCAGTAAACACTCCTCCAGATGAGTATTCCCTCACTACCTCACCTCACTCTGCAGGTGAATACACTCTACCTCACTCACTCTGCTTGTGAATAAATCTCCCTCACTCTCTGATGAAAAACATTCCTCACTCACTCTCCAGCTCTACTGGTGAGTACATCCTCCCTTCCTCACTCTCCAGGTGAATACACTCTCCCTCACTCACTCTCCTGATGAGTACATGCTCCCTCACTAACTCTCCAGGTAAATACACGCTCCCTCACTCACTCTCCTGTTCAGTACATGCTCACACTCCATGTGAATACGCTCTACCTCTCTCATTCTCCTGGTGAATAAATCTCTCCCTCACTCACTCTCCTGGTGAGTACACTCTGCCTCACTCACTTTCCTGGTGAGTACACACTCCCTCACTCACTCTCCTGGTAAATACTCTTTCCCTCACTCACTCTCCTGGTGAGTACATGCCCCCTCACTCACTCTCCAGGTGAATACACTCTACCACACTCACTCTCCTCACCCACTCTCTCTCCTGGTGAGTACACTCCCTCACTCACTCCTGGTGAATACACTCTACCACACTCACTCTCCAGGTGAGTACACTCTACCTCACTCACTTTCCTGGTGAGTACACACTCCCTCAATCACTCTCCTGGTGAATACACTCTACCTCACCCACTCTCCAGGTGAATACACTCTACCACACTCACTCTCCAGGTGAGTACCCTCTACCTCAATCACTCTCCTGGTGAGTACACACTCCCTCAATCACTCTCCTGGTGAATACGCTCTACCTCACCCACTCTCCAGGTGAATACACTCTACCACACTCACTCTCCAGGTGAGTACCCTCTACCTCACTCACTTTCCTGGTGAGTACATGCTCCCTCATTCACTCTACAGGTGAAAACATCCTCCCTCACTCACTCCCATGTTGAGTACATGCTCCCTCACTCATTCTCCAGGTGAATACATGCTCCCTCACTCACTCTCCAAGTGAATACATGCTCCCTCACTCACTCTCCAAATGAATACACTCTCCCTCACTCACTCTCCTGTTGAGTACACACTCCCTCACTCACTCTCCAAGTGAATACACGCTCCCTCACTCACTCTCCAGGTGAATACTCTCTCCCTCACACTCTCCAGGTGAATACTCTCTCCCTCACTCACTCTCCTGGTGAGAATACGCTCCCTCACTCACACTTCTGATGAGTACACACTCCCTCACTCACTCTCCTGGTGAGAACACGCTCCCTCACCCATTCTCCTGGTGAGAACACACTCACACACTCCTGGTGAGAACACACTCCCTCACCCACCTCACCACACTCCCTCACTCACTCTCCTGTTGAGTGAACACTCACTCTCCCATGAGTACACACCCACCTCACTCTCCTGGTGAGTACACACTCTCCTGGTGAGTACTCCCTCCCTCACTCTCCTGTTGAGTGAACGCTCCCTCACTCACTCTCCTCTCCTCAATGAGTACACACTCCACCACTCACTCTCCTGGTGAGAACACACTCCCTCACTCACTCTCTCTCCTGATGAGTACACACTCCCTCACTCACTCTCCTGGTGAGTACACACTCCCTCACTCACTCTCCTGGTGAGTACATGCTCCCTCACTCACTCTCCTGGTGAGTACACGCTCCCTCACTCACTCTCCTTGTGAGGACACACTCACTCACTGTTTCGATGAGTACACACTCCCTCACTCACTACCCTGGTGAATACACCCCCTCACTCACTCTTCTGATGAGTACACTCTCCCTCCCTCACTCTCCTAATGAGTACACACTCCCTCACTCACTCTCCTAATGAGTACACACTCACTCTCCTGGTGAGAACACACTCCCTCACTCACTCTCCTGTTGAGTACACACTCCCTCACTCACTCTTCTGATGAGTACACACTCACTCACTCACTCTTCTGAGTACACACTCACTCTCCTGGTGTGTACACGCTCCCTCACTCACTCTCCTGGTGAGAACACACTCCCTCACTCATTCTTCCTTATGAGTACACACTCACTCACTCTCCTGGTGGGTACACACTCCCTCCCTCACTCTACTGATGAGTACACTCTCCCTCCCTCACTCTCCTGGTGAGTTCACTGTTTCAGATTGTCCAGGTGTTCACTGTTTCAGATTGTCCAGTTGTGTTCACTGTTTCAGATTGTCCAGGTGTTCACTGTTTCAGATTGTCCAGTTGTTCACTGTGTTTCAGATTGTCCAGGTGTTCACTGTTTCAGATTGTACAGTTGTTCACTGTGTTTCAGGTTGTCCGGTCGTTTGCTGTTCTGCGGCTGGTTGACCGGCGTGTGTTGCGGACCCTACGTGAGCGTGAGAGGCAGGAGGGACCTCTAGCCAGGTATGGTTGTCAGCACAGTAGGACATTCACCACATGGACCAATAATCTAACCCCATACATACTTCAACTGACATTATTGCCTGAGCATATTTCCTCTAACATGTTTAACACACTGATCCTATACGTGTTGCCACAGATCAGAGAGAGCTGGGGATACATCATGGGAAAATGCCCATTGTCAACATACACTAGATTTTGTAGAATCAATGAGATTTTGTGTTTGTGAAATAGAACTGATATCATCATTGGATGATCTTGTTTGTGTTTGTGAAATAGAACTGATGTCATCATTGTATGATCTTGTTTGTGTTTGTGAAATAGAACTGATGTCATCATTGTATGATCTTGTTTAGGTGCAAGATTTAACATGTGCTGGAATGCTAGAAACTATTGTCCATACTTTCAAATGTTCCATTGTTTCAATTTAGATATGTATATCTTTGAAATCAAGAACTTAAATATTATAAATATTTAGTCACATAATATAGTAATCTCGCTGTTTATCTTTGAATCTGTGATTTCCATGTAAATATTTGTGGTTCTCTGGGTCCTCTTGAGTACAATGGGTGAAACAGAGCATGGATGCCATTCACTTAATGGTTTGTGGTTTTGTGTTTGGTGGACAGGAGAAAATGAAAATCAGTGGAGGAATAGCGAGGGAAATGTCAGGGAATGTTTGGCTTATGTCTCTGTGGCTTTTTTTATTCTCCGGTTTGATAAATGGGAAGGCATCTTTGTTGACATTTCTGGCTCATGTTGTAGGATCCCACGGGACATAATACAGGTTGGATCATTCAAGCGAGAAGTCTGTATCCGACGTTCCCACAAAACAAATATATTGTGACCCTGTTATCAAGCTATGTCCTGTGTGATACTGTGACCCTGTTGTCAAGCTGTATCCTGTGTGATACTGTGACCCTATTGTCAAGCTGTATCCTGTGTGATACTGTGACCCTATTGTCAAGCTATATCCTGTGTGATACTGTGACCCTATTGTCAAGCTATATCCTGTGTGATATTGTGACCCTGTTGTCAAGCTATATCCTGTGTGATATTGTGACCCTATTGTCAAGCTATATCCTGTGTGATACTGTGACCCTATTGTCAAGCTATATCCTGTGTGATACTGTGACCCTATTGTCAAGCTATATCCTGTGTGATACTGTGACCCTATTGTCAAGCTATATCCTGTGTGATACTGTGACCCTATTGTCAAGCTGTATCCTGTGTGATACTGTGACCCTATTGTCAAGCTGTATCCTGTGTGATATTGTGACCCTATTGTCAAGCTATATCCTGTGTGATACTGTGACCCTATTGTCTATTGTAGCTGTATCCTGTGTGATACTGTGACCCTATTGTCAAGCTATATCCTGTGTGATACTGTGACCCTATTGTCAAGCTATATCCTGTATGATATTGTGACCCTGTTGTCAAGCTATATCCTGTGTGATACTGTGACCCTATTGTCAAGCTGTATCCTGTGTGATACTGTGACCCTATTGTCAAGCTATATCCTGTGTGATACTGTGACCCTATTGTCAAGCTATATCCTGTGTGATATTGTGACCCTGTTGTCAAGCTATATCCTGTGTGATATTGTGACCCTGTTGTCAAGCTATATCCTGTGTGATACTGTGACCCTATTGTCAAGCTATATCCTGTGTGATACTGTGACCCTATTGTCAAGCTATATCCTGTGTGATATTGTGACCCTATTGTCAAGCTATATCCTGTGTGATACTGTGACCCTATTGTCAAGCTGTATCCTGTGTGATACTGTGACCCTATTGTCAAGCTATATCCTGTGTGATATTGTGACCCTGTTGTCAAGCTATATCCTGTGTGATACTGTGACCCTATTGTCAAGCTATATCCTGTATGATATTGTGACCCTGTTGTCAAGCTGTATCCTGTGTGATACTGTGACCCTATTGTCAAGCTATATCCTGTGTGATACTGTGACCCTGTTGTCAAGCTGTATCCTGTGTGATACTGTGACCCTATTGTCAAGCTATATCCTGTGTGATACTGTGACCCTATTGTCAAGCTATATCCTGTGTGATACTGTGACCCTATTGTCAAGCTATATCCTGTGTGATACTGTGACCCTATTGTCAAGCTATATCCTGTGTGTGTGATACTGTGTCAAGCCCTATTGTGACCCTGTTGTATATCCTGTGTGATATTGTGACCCTATTGTCAAGCTATATCCTGTGTGATACTGTGACCCTATTGTCAAGCTGTATCCTGTGTGATATGTGTGATTGTCAAACTGTATCCTGTGTGTGATATTGTCAAGTTGTCAATATCCTGTGTGATACTGTGACCCTATTGTCAAGCTATATCCTGTATGATATTGTGACCCTGTTGTCAAGCTGTATCCTGTGTGATACTGTGACCCTATTGTCAAGCTATATCCTGTGTGATACTGTGACCCTATTGTCAAGCTGTATCCTGTGTGATACTGTGACCCTATTGTCAAGCTATATCCTGTGTGATACTGTGACCCTATTGTCAAGCTATATCCTGTGTGATACTGTGACCCTGTTGTCAAGCTATATCCTGTGTGATACTGTGACCCTATTGTCAAACTGTATCCTGTGTGATATTGTGACCCTGGTGTCAAACACTATCCTGTGTGATGTTGAAACTATCTTCCCTTCAGTGACAGTGTTGTGTGACACTGTTTGTTGGGTTTTTTTCGCGGGGTTTTCGGGGTTTTTTTTCATGTTTTTATTCCCACAATTAAGTTTACAGACTTTACCTCAGTAGTACAGTACAGTACAGGTAGCTTCATAGTACACAAGTACAGTGTTTCCTTTGTCACTCTAACATCATGCTGTTCACAAATATGTAAAATGGTCAAACTAAGCATGTATGTGAAGTGTTACATGTTTACAGACTTTACCTCAGTAGTACAGTACAAAACAGGTAGCTTCATAGTACACAAGTACAGTGTTTCCTTGATCACATTGTCAAATATCATGATGTTCACAAATATGTAAAGTGTTTAAACTAAGCATGTATGTGAAGTATACAGTTGTGTGACTGTTGTTCAGACCCTGTTCTGTGTGCCATTGTACATTGGGGGGTGTTATGGTATAAAGCTCTACCTCAGACACAACCAAAACAATGACACCATATCCTGTCATGCCCTGGCCTGATACCTCCCTGTCTACCTCTCTACTAGCTAGAGTATACTAGCTCACTTCTACACCTACATCATCTGCTGTCTGCCTCTCTACTAGCTAGAGTATACTAGCTCACTTCTACACCTACATCACCTGCTGTCTGCCTCTCTACTAGCTAGAGTATACTAGCTCACTTCTACACCTACATCATCTGCTGTCTGCCTCTCTACTAGTTAGAGTATACTAGCTCACTTCTACACCTACATCATCTGCTGTCTGCCTCTCTACTAGCTAGAGTATACTAGCTCACTTCTACACCTACATCATCTGCTGTCTGCCTCTCTACTAGCTAGAGTATACTAGCTCACTGCTACACCTACATCATCTGCTGTCTGCCTCTCTACTAGCTAGAGTATACTAGCTCACTTCTACACCTACATCATCTGCTGTTTGTGTCTCTACTACCTAGAGTATACTAGCTCACTTCTACACCTACATCATCTGCTGTCTGCCTCTCTACTAGCTAGAGTATACTAGCTCACTTCTACACCTACATCATCTGCTGTCTGCCTCTCTACTAGCTAGAGTATACTAGCTCACTTCTACACCTACATCATCTGCTGTCTGCCTCTACTAGCTAGAGTATACTAGCTCACTTCTACACCTACATCATCATCTGCTGTCTGCCTCTCTACTAGCTAGAGTATACTAGCTCACTTCTACACCTACATCATCTGCTGTCTGCCTCTCTACTAGCTAGAGTATACTAGCTCACTTCTACACCTACATCATCTGCTGTCTGCCTCTCTACTAGCTAGAGTATACTAGCTCACTTCTAACACCTACATCATGCAGATATCACACACATCATGCAGACATCACACACATCATACAGACATCACACACATCATGCAGACATCGCACACATCATGCAGACATCACACACATCATGCAGACATCACACACATGCAGACATCACACACATCATGCAGACATCACACACATGCAGACATCACACACATCATGCAGACATCACACACACATACAGACATCACACACATCATGCAGACATCACACACATCATCCAGACATCACACACATCATCCAGACATCACACACATCATGCAGACATCACACACCATGCAGACATCGCACACATCATGCTGACATCGCACACATCATGCAGACATCACACATCATGCAGACATCACACACATCATGCAGACATCACAGACATCATGCAGACATCACACACATGCAGACATCGCACACATCATACATACATCACACACATCATGCAGACATCACACACATCATGCAGACATCAGTCACTCACATGCCCATCTGAACACACATGCCTGCACATCACCATAGAAGTGCTGGAATCATAAACACAACATTTCACCTGATCATATATGCACACACTCACATATCATCCAGAAATCACGATCACATCACACATACATATCACGCAGACATCACACACATCATGCAGACATCACACACATCATGCAGACATCACACACATCATACAGACATCACACACATCATGCAGACATCACACCCATCATGCAGATATCACACACATCATGCAGACATCATGCAGACATCACACCCGTCATCCAGACATTACACACATCATGCAGACATCACACACATCATACAGACATCACACACATCATGCAGACATCACACACATGCAGACATCACACATCATGCAGACATCACTCACTCACATGCCCATCTGAACACACATGCCTGCACATCACCATAGAAGTGCTGGAATCATAAACACAACATTTCACCTCATCATATATGCACACACTCACATATCATCCAGAAATCACGATCACATCACACATACATATCACGCAGACATCACACACATCATGCAGACATCACACACATCATGCAGACATCACACACATCATACAGACATCACACACATCATGCAGACATCACACCCATCATGCAGATATCACACACATCATGCAGACATCATGCAGACATCACACCCGTCATCCAGACATTACACACATCATGCAGACATCACACACATCATACAGACATCACACACATCATGCAGACATCACACACATGCAGACATCACACATCATGCAGACATCACACACATCATACACATCATACAGACATCACACACATCATGCAGACATTACACCCATCATGCAGACATCACACCCGTCATGCAGCCATCACACACATCATGCAGACATCACACTTATCGAGACATCACTCACATCATCCAGACATCACTCACATCATGCAGACATCACACACATCATGCAGACATCACACACATCATGCAGACATCACACACATCATAGAGACATCACACACATCATACAGACATCACACACATCATGCAGACATCACACACATCATGCAGACATCACACACATTATGCAGACATCACACACATCATGCAGACATCACACATATCATATAGACATCACACACATTATGCAGAGATAACACACATCATGCTGACATCACACACACGCAGACATCACACACATCATGCAGAAATCACACATGCAGACATTACACACCCAGAGATCATGCAGATGTCACACAGAGACATCATGCAGACATCACACAGATGCATCACACAAATCATGCAGAACTCACACATCACACAGACATTACACACAGATCATGCAGATATCACACACAGACATCATGCAAACATCACACAGATGCATCACACAAATCATGCAGACATCACAAACACCTCACACACATGCAGATATCACGCAAACATCACACACACATCGTGGAGACATCACACGCATACACACACATCACACAGATGATGATGTGTGTGTGATGCCAAAGTGAAAGGTGCTTGCATTTTTGGTGTGTGATATCTGCATGATATGTATGTATATGTGTGTACACATTTGTCTGCTGGGGGAACACGCTCCTCATTCCTTCACTGCTGTCACTATGTTGCTCTATATGACATTGGCTGTTCAAATAATGAGTAAGTGAAAGATTGCTCAAGCCCAGATAAAATTTAAAACAAATAGGCTCCCATTAACATGAAAAATAATGGTGAAAAAAATGTAAATTAAATGTCATTCGAATTTCAGATGTTTTTCTCTATGAAGTGCCCCTTTGTGTGAGTGATCTTTAAACTAACAGAGTGATCTGTAAACTAACTTGTAAAAAGTCAGAGCTGTCAGATGCCTCTTCTCAGAAGTCTTGTATTAATATAAAATATATTTAGCTTGTGTATGGTTTAAATCTTATGATGTCAAAAATTATTTAACAAACATTTTTCTCTTTGCCATGTTTCAGAGAGTCAAAGAAAACATTAAGAATTCTTGAAGGAATGATGTCATCAGGCACTCGATCTGTTACTCCAAAGACTCCAAATACCTCCAGCAAGAAGTTCAAGAAGCTGTCTCTGTAGCAGTATGTGACCCCCAACACTTCCACCCACCCCAATGTCCACATCCAACCCCCACACAGAGGAAGATCACCAGTCTGAGGAGCAACAGGAGACCCCAACACTTCCACCCACCCCAGTGTCCACATCACCCCCTCTTTCCCCCACACAGAGGAAGATGGCCAGGCTGAGGAGCAACAGGTGACCCCAACACTTCCACCCACCCCAATGTCCACATCCACCCCCCACACAGAGGAAGATCGCCAACCGGAGTAGCAACAGGTGACACCAACACTTCCACCCACCCCAACACTGAAGAACCTGTATAGCAACATTTGATGCCCAGGATGTTCCTAGACATCTGGACTGACACCATCTTAAGTCTGCTTAAAATATTTGTGTGAAAATAGCAAATATTTCATGTGGCGAATAATAACTAATGACTGATCATGAGTAGGATCTCATATCTTGACATGATCGAGACACAGCTTTGATGATCAATGTCTATTGGAGAAAGATTTGTTGATTTGTTTGATTATTGTACCTATATTTCTGTAAGTAGATTGTGGAACGTTGGACAACTTACTATACATGTGATAATATAAGCTTGCTGTGATGTTTCAGATTGTATAGATATATCATGGTAACCTATACATTCTAGTTATGCTTTATACAAATATTACCATAGGTATTTCAAGCTATGCCAGGTAATGCAAAGTGTCCTGTATATATTTATTGCAACAAATACCAGTCAGGTTGTGATATCAAATCTGTATCAATGTGCTCTTACTTCTGCTCAGATGGTTGCATTTAACATTTAAATAAACTTTAAAGTTTACTTTATATTTTATGTTTGCTGTTGTAAAAAAATTATAGAGATTGCATCACTCACTCAGTCAGACAAGTCACTCACTGAAAGGAATATTTCCCCTAGTAAAATGCAATTGAAGCACTGCTAGAATCACTGATTTGACATGCTCACTGAGAAGACATTTGGACCAGTTTGTTTTCACTGATTTCTTACCATCTTATCCAGTTGTGTTGAAGCACACACATTACCCAACTTTATACACACAATGAACACTGAGCCCCCTTACACATACATTGATACAACCATCCAACTCCATTCACTGGTAATTGAAGCCTTTGTTGATCTGTGTGAAGTAGAAATTCATCCCCAGAGTAGACCTCATCCTATTGTGGGCATCATCTCTGTGTGAAGTAGATGTTCATCTCAGGAGTAGACCTCATCTTATTGTGGGCATCATCTCAGTGTGAAGTAGATGTTCATCTCAGGAGTAGACCTCATCTTATTGTGGGCATCAGCTCTGTGTGAAGTTGATGTTCATCTCAAGAGTAGACCTCATCCTATTGCAAGGCATCAGCTCTGTGTGAAGTAGATGTTCATCTCAAGAGTAGACCTCATCTTATTGTGGGCATCAGCTCTGTGTGAAGTAGATGTTCATCTCAGGAGTAGACCTCATCCTATTGCAAGGCATCAGCTCTGTGTGAAGTAGATGTTCATCTCAAGAGTAGACCTCATCTTATTGCAAGGCATCAGCTCTGTGTGAAGTAGATGTTCATCTCAGGAGTAGACCTCATCCTATTGTGGGCATCAGCTCTGTGTGAAGTAGATGTTCATCTCAAGAGTAGACCTCATCTTATTGCAAGGCATCAGCTCTGTGTGAAGTAGATGTTCATCTCAGGAGTAGACTTCATCCTATTGCAAGGCATCAGCTCTGTGTGAAGTAGACGTTCATCTCAAGAGTAGACCTCATCTTATTGCAAGGCATCAGCTCTGTGTGAAGTAGATGTTCATCTCAGGAGTAGACCTCATCCTATTGCAAGGCATCAGCTCTGTGTGAAGTAGATGTTCATCTCAAGAGTAGACCTCATCTTATTGCAAGGCATCAGCTCTGTGTGAAGTAGATGTTCATCTCAGGAGTAGACCTCATCCTATTGCAAGGCATCAGCTCTGTGTGAAGTAGATGTTCATCTCAAGAGTAGACCTCATCTTATTGCAAGGCATCAGCTCTGTGTGAAGTAGATGTTCATCTCAGGAGTAGACCTCATCCTATTGCAAGGCATCAGCTCTGTGTGAAGTAGATGTTCATCTCAGGAGTAGACCTCATCCTTTTGCAAGGCATCAGCTCTGTGTGAAGTAGATGTTCATCTCAAGAGTAGACCTCATCTTATTGCAAGGCATCAGCTCTGTGTGAAGTAGATGTTCATCTCAGGAGTAGACCTCATCCTATTGCAAGGCATCAGCTCTGTGTGAAGTAGATGTTCATCTCAAGAGTAGACCTCATCTTATTGCAAGGCATCAGCTCTGTGTGAAGTAGATGTTCATCTCAGGAGTAGACTTCATCCTATTGCAAGGCATCAGCTCTGTGTGAAGTAGACGTTCATCTCAAGAGTAGACCTCATCTTATTGTTGGGCATCAGCTCTGTTGTGTGTGAAGTATGTGTTCATCTCAGGAGTAGACCTCATCCTATTGCAAGGCATCAGCTCTGTGTGAAGTAGATGTTCATCTCAAGAGTAGACCTCATCTTATTGTGGGCATCAGCTCTGTGTGAAGTAGATGTTCATCTCAAGAGTAGACCTCATCCTATTGTGGGCATCAGCTCTGTGTGAAGTAGATGTTCATCTCAGGAGTGGACCTCATCCTATTGCAAGGCATCAGCTCTGTGTGAAGTAGATGTTCATCTCAGGAGTAGACCTCATCCTATTGCAAGGCATCAGCTCTGTGTGAAGTAGATGTTCATCTCAAGAGTAGACCTCATCTTATTGTGGGCATCAGCTATGTGTGAAGTAGATGTTCATCTCAAGAGTAGACCTCATCTTATTGTGGGCATCAGCTCTGTGTGAAGTAGATGTTCATCTCAGGAGTAGACCTCATCTTATTGTGGGGCATCAGGTCTGTGTGAAGTATGTGTTCATCTCAGGAGTAGACTTCATCCTATTGCAAGGCATCAGCTCTGTGTGAAGTAGATGTTCATCTCAGGAGTAGACCTCATCTTATTGTGGGCATCAGCTCTGTGTGAAGTAGATGTTCATCTCAAGAGTAAACCTCATCTTATTGTGGGGCATCAGGTCTGCGTGAAGTATGTGTTCATCTCAGGAGTAGACTTCATCCTATTGCAAGGCATCAGCTCTGTGTGAAGTAGACGTTCATCTCAAGAGTAGACCTCATCTTATTGTGGGCATCAGCTCTGTGTGAAGTAGATGTTGATCTGAATAGTTGACCTCATCTTATTGTGGGGCAGGGCATCAGCTCTGTGTGAAGTAGATTTTCATCTCAAGAGTAGACCTGATTTTATTGTGGGGCATCAGCTCTGTGTGAAGTATGTGTTCATCTCAAGAGTAGACCTCATCCTATTGTGGGGCATCAGCTCTGTGTGAAGTATGTGTTTATCTCAGGAGTAGACCTCATCCTATTGCAAGGCATCAGCTCTGTGTGAAGTAGATGTTCATCTCAGGAGTAGACCTCATCTTATTGTGGGCATCAGCTCTGTGTGAAGTAGATGTTCATCTCAGGAGTAGACCTCATCTTATTGTGGGCATCAGCTCTGTGTGAAGTAGATGTTCATCTCAGGAGTAGACCTCATCCTATTGCAAGGCATCAGCTCTGTGTGAAGTAGATGTTGATCTGAATAGTTGACCTCATCTTATTGTGGGGCAGGGCATCAGCTCTGTGTGAAGTAGATGTTCATCTCAAGAGTAGACCTCATCTTATTGTGGGGCAGGGCATCAGCTCTGTGTGAAGCATGTGTTGATCTCAAGTGTAGAACTCATCCTTTTGCAGGGCATCAGCTCTGTGTGAAGATGGCAACATCATAGACATAACAGAATCCGACTGCCAACATTGTAAGCATTACCAAATCTGGCTTCCAACATTCTTGGTGTCACAAAATACAGCTTCCAACACTGTTTGTATCACCGAATCCGGAAACCAACTTTATAGCTATAACAGAATCCAGCTGCCAACATTGTAGGCTTCAGCGAAATCTAGATTCCAACACTGTAGGCATCAGCGAATCCAGCTGCTAACATTGTAGGCATCACCGAAACCAGCTGTTATCACTGTAGGCATCACTGAATCCAGCTGTTATCACTGTAGGCATCACCTGAATCAAACTGCCAACATTGTAGGCTTCACCAATTCCAGCTGCCAACACTGTAGGCATTCATCCATCTGGTGAATGCCTACAACTTTGCATTCCAAGTAGGCAGAGACATTAAGTGTTTCCACTGCTTTGACCATTGGTGAGCCCGAGACTAACAAAATTAGCTTCTTAAAAACAAGGTTAATATTCTCACACGGAGCGTATCTGGTTAGAAATCTGAAGCCTTAGAATCCAGAGCATTCATCAAAATGTTTACAACTCTCTTGTTAGAGATGCCGAATGTGTAGTGTATCATCCCTAATGATATCCTTTCTTTTGTCAGCCTAGGTAAGTCTCTTCCTGATTCTTGTAGGTATAACGCCTAGACACAAGGGGCATCAGCGTATATCTATCATATCTGAATACAAGGGTATTCAGTGAAGATGCATCAAATGCTTGGTCGTTGACGTAAAATGTCTTAATACAAGCATCAGAGTGGATATATGTAGTACCTAACCATTTTTCTATAACATGTAGACACTGTCCAGAGCGCATCAGTATGGATGCATCGAGTGCCTGGTCGTTTACGTAATATCTGATACGAGAGTCCATCAGTGGAAACATAGAAGAAGAGAGAGTCCATCAGTGACGATGTATCAGGCACATGGTAGTATATCTATTGTATCTGGATACAAGAGTACATCAGTGGCGATGTATCGAGCACAAGGTAGTATATCTATTATCTGGATACACATGGTAGTATATCTATCTATTGTATCTGGATACAAGAATTTATCAGTAGCGATGTATCGAAAGCACACATTGTAGTATATCTATTGTATCTGGATACAAGAGTACATCAGTAGCTATGTATTGAGCACATGGTAGTGTATCTATTGTATCTGGATGCAAGAGTACAGGCACCAATAAGT